TAACCTTTAAACTCACAGAAGGATGGGCATGAGCAAATTAGATATGGGAGCTGTGAGGTGGGGCTGTTGTCGATGTGTAGAGTGCAAAAAAAAGTCGATTAGCTTAGAAGGGTAGTTGTTGTGTGGCGTTAAAGTGAGGAGTTTCGTTTCCATCGCTCTAAAGCATGTTTTCAAAAGGTGATCAGCGGTCGTGGCTTACAATCGAGGTTGCCCGTGGCAAAAATGCAACAGAATGCTATCGAGGATTAGTGGAAGCCTTTGGAGCAAATGCTTTACCATATAGGACAGTAGCACGATGGATTCAAGCATCTCGTCTTTTTTCGTCATTAAGCCTTTTCACAACATGCTTTAGAGCGATGGAAACGAAACTCCTCACTTTAACGCCACGCAACAACTACCCTTCTAAGCAAATCGACTGTTTTTTGCACTCTACACATCGACAACAGCGCCACCTCACCGCACCCATACCCTATTTACACATGCGCGCCCTTTTGTGAGTTTCAAGGTTAAGTTGCCACTATTTAATTTACAACCCTCGTAGTTAAACTGAGACCTGCTTGTATAACGTTAGAGATGAAAGCAAATTATGTGAGTTAGAGGTAGAAGAAGCAAAGGTATTGATATTGCTGCATACCATCTTTATTGATGAATTTATAGAGTTTAAAAAAACTATTGCTCAGAATTCCATACACTGATGTTATTTTAAAAGATAGAGCATTTGATCAAATAAGGAAGAAATTTACAGCTCTACTTTGAAGAATTCTGTAGAAATTGACTGCCCGGCTAATATTTCAAGAGGTATTTTGTTAAGAATATCTCCGTACTAATAAGAGCATATTAAAGATGTTCATTGTAGAATTTAGGTGAATTGATTAGGTGAATGAAAATATTACAATTTATAGTATGCAAGGATTGTGGAATCGATTTTGTAATGAAAAGATTTAATTATTTCTTAACATGATAGATCCATTAAAAGATCAAGGAATTTGATGTAAAAATGGTATAAGCTTGTGGTGATAGGTTCGCCGCTCATCGTAAAATCAAGTTTATTTCATATTGTTATCTGTTTGTCTTTAATCAATTGTGTATTTACTTATTTTTGAAGTGAACTGAATTAAGAGTTCTGACGTCATCATATTAGAATTGTATAAATACCAGCACGCACATGACAGCCTGTCAGTATTTTTCTCATCACCTGCTGTGATGATGCTTCTTGTAAATCAAACCAACTTGTATATAAATGTAAATATATTAAATAAAATATTAGTATCTCAAAGGAGCTATCTTCGCTTACTTCAAGCTAAGGAGCTGTTTTGTGGAAAATATATTGGATACACATTTTATAGGTAATTTCTGAGTGTTTATACTTTATATGCATTTTAAGGCATCTTTTTTAATTACAGAATGAATATTTTTCAGTATTTAATGACCTTTTCATGTTTCAACATCAGTTCATTTAATCAAATTTTGCTCCATTGTTTTTGTGCACGATCAAACAAATCTGATTCAATTTTGTTAGTTCAAGTTTTGCGATTAAATTTGGAGGAGGCAATGACTTGATACATATTGACAGTATTTTTTATTTATTATAAAATGCATATTTTCCAATATTGGAAAACCTATTTAAAACTAAATATAGAGCTACTATTTTCCAAAGCTAGTGCACAGGAGAAAAGATTTAAGGGGAAACAATACAGTAGAGGCCTGTAAAGAAGAAGTGCTTTTTTAATGAATTTTGAAACAATTGTGATAAACTTAATAAAAATTTTTTTAATCGTATTTTATGCATTTTAATCTTCATTTATGTCAAAAAAATTAGCACTTACATAATGCTATGTACATAATTAATTTTTTTAATTATCCAAAACTTGCTGTACTTGCAAGTTGAAAAAAAAAGCACCCAAATTTGATTCTGTTTTGAGTTTTCCAAACTACATGAATGTAGTAGTAGTACACTAAGGATTTAAAAAAAAAATTTTTTTCTTCACAAAATGTATGTTTAAAATAAAAAAAAATAAAAAACACACACACACACACACAAAATAAATCACATTTTCATATATTATTCAAAGCCTGTCCACCCAATTAAAAAATCCTTACACGAAAAAAAAAACTATATTTAATGTAAATATTGCGTCAAAATTTTAAGTAAATCAGTTTAAAATTGTACTAGTTAAAGAAGCAGCAGTAAGAGAAACATAATTACGAACCAGCTGCGGTTTAAATTTTGTGATTAATAACCCATATAAAATTTCACGACTAACAATACTACATTAATAATAGGTTTATAAGATGCTTCTTCTCCATCATTTTTAGGAGTCTCAAGCATTAGTATAGCCTTTTTTTTTGTCGATCTACCCTCATATGATCTCATGTTCTTAGAGTAACAGCTGAAAATTCTGCGATCATCTTAATTTTTAGCATATTCTTCTGGGCCTTCATTTATTTTTAATTGTTCCAAAACTGCCAATAACCCTTTTCAACCTTCATTTAAAATTATAACAGCTAAACAAGTTGCAATTTCAACTATCTATACTCAAAGCACCATTAATTCTTTATTTTTTTAATTAAAAAAATAGTTAAAATGGTAGTATTTTGCTAAAATATTTTAATAGGAGTGAGGGAAACCATCAATCAACCAAGTGCAGAAGTTCATTTGTTCATACACGTCTGTGACGCATGACATATTATGCTGTGACTTTTACATTTTTACAGAAGTCAATTCAATATTTTTCTAAAATAATTTTTAAGAATATTCTATTGAATAATGAAATTTCTACAATTTTCGAAAATTTTACTGTGTTATTCCCCTTAATATATGTTTAATGGACTTTTTTTTGGACTCAACAATTGCTTTTTTTTTTTTTAAATAACAAAATCTATATTTTCAACGCAGTTGGATTGACAAACCTGCTATCGACAATAATAAATTAAAAGTAGATCAAAACTTGACAATGAAAAAAAAAAAAAAAAAAACTAAAAGATAATGATTTAACAGAAACAAATGTGTTCCATTGTGTTCAAATAGCAATTTTATGTCTCATTCAGCACTTTGAAGGGTAATGTTTTCTATTTCAATAAAACATGAACATGTTGAACAAATGCTAGTACTAAAGTATTTGTTAGTAGACTTGCAATAGTATAGCTTTAATATTAAAGTATAGAATGTTACATTCTATACTTAAAATTTCTGAACTAAAGAGTAATTTTAGAAAGACTTATGGTTGCTCACTTCTTTTGTTAAAATTTAGGAGAATATTACAATTAGACATTATTTATTTCAGATAGAGTTATGGTTGTTAACAAAAATAAGAATTTTATTCCTTTTAAAATATTCAACTTATTGTCGTAGGATAGTTTGCTTTCTTAAAAAATAAAGTTTTTTAAAACAAATTTGAAAGTTACACATTAAAACACACAATTAAGAAAAAAAAAAAAATTGGAATTAGAAATTTATGATTTTTAAATTATAAATTTTTCTGAGAATCAACAATGCAGGAAACAAAAATTGATGTATTATGAAATGGTAGCTGTTACAAAATAACATTTATTTATTTACTTTGTAACAGCTGCAATTACATGATATTGACCGAAGTCAATTTCCATTACTTTTTCCGAATTCAGCACTTTACTCAGTTTTTTTTTAAATTTTTGTTATTACAACAGCATTTTTGGCAGTTATTGCTGCACATTTCCACCAAGTTTTTAAAATCGAAATAATTTCATATAACTTTATAGCTTAACAGGAATTTAGAATCACACATTTGAGTGATAACTTCTCGAACCACTCGATTAGTGACGATTCCACGGTGAACCAGCATGGTCTCGTCAATCATTTATCGACAGTTACTGATATTTCTTATGGATTTTAAAATCTCAATGTTTTGGTATGACATTACTTTATTCAGTGAACATTGATATGTGCATTTGAAGAATCACTTTTTCATGCACTCAACTATTTCATTTTCAATTATAAAACAAAATAGTTTTGTCGATCACATTTCCCACAGTTATTGCGGATTTTCATAGTTTTTCAAAATTTCGATTTTTTAAGGGGTATATTGCTCTGCGCTGGAAATTTTGAATTTGAAGAAACGCTTTTGATTAGTAAATATTAACCCATAAACCTGTATCGCATTATCAACTGCATTTTATTATATTTTAATGACATGGATTTTCAAATGATTTGCAAAATCTTAATTTCTTATTGCTACATTGTTTTGCACAGGAAATTTATAATAACTTTTTTTAATGTACTTAATTTACATCAATTTTATTGTCTATGCGGTTTAGTCAATGACATATTTAACAGTTGTTGCTTCAGATTTTTCAAATTTTAATTTCTTTTCTGATACAAACTATTATCAACCGCAAATTTTGAATCACGCTTTTAAGTAATCGCTTTATGATACACTTTCGTTAGGACAATATCATATCAAATCAGCGATTTTTTCAAAGTGCAACAGTTCTGAAACACGAGTGAATAAAGACCAGGTTCTGAAACGTAGCAAGGGATTTATAATTATTTTTTTTGGCAGCAGTAATCTTTTTATGCGATACTAGACGAAAAAATACATAACTTTTTGGTGCTGAATCAAATGTTATCGTAAGCACAAAACTTCATTTTCGTGATATGACAATTTTATCATGTAATATTGTAAAGCGAATAAAAATTATATACATAAAAGGCAAGGAGTATCATCCCTGTAAAGTTTAAAAAAATTTAATTTCCTAAATAAATTATTTAATTAATAAAATTTTTGGAATATCTACATTAAACTAGTTAATTCTCAACATCTGTCACACACAAAAAAAAAAGGTACAGTAAGGCATCACACAAAATATTTATTAATTGTTGCAACAGTTGCAAACTGTGTAATATATAATTTTAGCATATTTTTATTATTAATTTTTACCAACAGTACTTTTGTTTTTAGGATTAATTAAAAATAAAATAAAATGGGAAGCAGCTTTTCAAATGACAGCCAAATGAAACTTACCCCGAAATTCCTTAATCTTTTCTTGTAGGCGATTTTGAAGTTCTTCAATATTAGCAGCTCTTGTTAATGATACTGAACGTTCCTGTAATCCTAAAAGAAACAGTAAATAAAACTATAAAAATTAAATCTGAAAAATTTAACAAATGCAAATAACAGTTATACAATTTATTTTATCGGACTACTGACAAGAAAAACAAACAAACTATTAATTGAAATAAAACAAATGAGATTCTGTAAATTTGTCTAAACTTTTGGCTTTTCATTAGAACAGACAAACTTAACACTATCAAATAAAAGTATGTATAGAGCACAAAAAACGTCTTTACCATAAATAACTTTTGTTCCAATGATCAGATTTTTATGAACTAAGCTTCAATTTCAATAGTTAAAAGAGATGACCTCAAATATGTTAATTAATCAGTACAGATGATATTTTAAGTTATAAAATCAGCAAAAAATTCTATGAATAAAAAAAATTTCCTTTGAGGGATTTAGATTTTTGTTCATTAAAATATAGCAGCAATTTGGAAAATATGATCTCAATAGTTCAGGTAGGAAAGCGGTCGAAGGTATGGAACCCTTATTAATTTAACATTATGTGTATTTGGCCATATCTTGGAAAGTTTTTAAGGGAAGGGTTTTAATTTTGATCACCATTATAAAATTCGTTTACCTAAAAAAAATTTAATATAAAAAAAAGCTTTTGGATTGTAAAGTTAAAAAAATTTACAAAATTTTAAATTATGTAATTTTTAATGATAAAATACAAAATTACAAAAAATTGGATTTTAAAAATGAAAGTTTAAAATATAAAATTTATTTTGAAATTTCATTGCTCAGAAATTATCTGACTGATGTCATTAAATTTTTGTATTGTAAAAATACAGTTAAAAATGGTGTAAAAATTTACATACTTCAAAATTCAAGATTTATTTTATCGTTATTAAATAATACTGATAGTTTAATAACAATAAATAATTGAATTTTTTTTTTTTTTTTACAGGAACTGATCTTGGAAAAAACAAATATTATAATGGTGTGCCAACATTTTTTGTTGCTACCTAAAACTTACATGATATGGGAAAATATGCAAAATGTGAATATTCATCAACATTAAGGGGCAAAAAACTTTTGACCACTTTTCTATAAGCTAACCTCTTTCCCTATTTTGCAGGTCAAAAATGAAATTCAGTAAAAAAAAAAAAAAGTATGTTTATTCATAGAAAGTATGTTTTTGTGTCTGATTTTTAAAGTTAAATGTTTTTAAAATTTTTGTAAACTGTACAAATTAATTAGCATATTTGAGGTCGATCCCTTGAATCTTTAAGATTGTGAAAATCAAAATCTAATCATTACAGCATCTAAACCTTGCACAGTGTACATAAGTGTAACAAATGAAATGACAATATAAGTCAAAGTAAGTTATTTAAAAAATGATGGTTTTGTAATACAAACACATTAATAAAGTTTTAAAATGACACAGAACAGTGAAAAATTTAAAAATTAAAATTAAATAGAAAATATTTTTGTCAAACTTTTTACAACAATTGAATTGATAGTTAACTCTATTTTGGTTTTATATTTGTAATTGCGGCATAGTTATTAAAGAATATTTTTGATGGTAGAATTATTTGACAAATTTCAAAAATTTCTTTAGATAAAAATGTTTTTGACATTTAAATATATAAGAGCATAGTAATAAAAATCTTGCTCTGCTGATAATTAGCATGAATATTTTTGTGTGTAGAAATATTTTTTCTTAAATATTGATAACACAAAAATATTGAAAATTATCTATTTATGATAACCAGTGAATGATAAAAACACAATTTTTTTCCTAACAGAATTTTAAATTAAAGAGCAGTTTAGCTTTTTATTCAACAATTAACTAAGAGCATTTTACATTATCAAAATTTTTCCATGTTTGATAAGAACAATGACAGAATTTAAAATAATCTGGAAAGATAAACACGAGTACTGTGCACACGGAATAAATCAAAGCCTGTCAAAAAATCAGAAAAACGTGTCAGCTAGTTATTCTTACGAATTATTTATCTGTTCAATATGAATCACCCGTAAATTGATGCCCAAGTAAGACGAACAATATTCTCTTTGAGTGAACTTGAAGAAATATGGTAATATAATGTACAATGTTGACTTTCAATCTCTCTTTTATTTTGTATGTTGTGGAGATGTAATAAAATAAAAATTGTAATGTTATGAAGGAAAAAAAAAAAAAAAAAAAAAAAAAAGATGAGCACTTTGTCTGTGCAAGCTTTGAAGTATAACCAACTGAAATTATAACAGTAATTCAGAAGTTCGATGGAGTTACTCTAATAAAATTATAGGAAAGAACTTTCAGCAAAGCATTATTACTACCCACCAAGTTCTTAGTTAAAAAAAGAAAATTAAACAACATTAATAAAAAATTAAACTATAAAAAAAATGACTACTTACAGAAATTATATAAAGTTAAATTAAAAATAATTTTTTATAAGTATGTTCACTTTAAGACATTTGATTCTCCGTATTTTTATTTCAAAATGTCATCAGAACTTAATATTTTTAATAAAAGTTACAAGTTTTGAAAGTAACTAAATATTTAAGTGCATAAAATTTAAAAAAAAAAAAATGAATTTATGAAGGAGCCCTCAGTTAAAAATTTTATAAATACTTTACTGAATTGGAATGAGATAATTAAAAAAAAAATTGTGAAACAACCAATCTTCAAATAATGCTTTTATTAATATGAAGTCTTCACCCTTAATTAAAAATGGATAAATAATTTAGATAAAAAAAGTGAAAATTCATAAAATCACAGAAAAGTGACACAACTGGAATATGGATAATAAGAAAATTATTTAGGCATAGATACTTTATATCTAAATAAAAAGAAATGGTTATAATTTTTGTAATATATAATGACCAATTAAAATTATATATACGATAAAATAAAGCTGAAATGATAAATATTATATGCAGCATAGGAAACAAAATTATAAGAATAGAGAACCTTTATTCTTGTGAGATTTTTTCTGCTTTTTCCCTTCCAATTCCTTATGTATTTCAGATACACTTTTTTGACATAAGGGATCAAGTCTAGCTCTTTTATGTTTACCCTTTGCAGATAGCTGAATGCGTTTCACACCTTTTTTCAAAGCTAAAAGTGTCGAAGAAAAAAAAAAACAATAAAAAATTATCAGACCACAGAATAAAGTTTTGAAAAAATAAAAAAAGGTTACATAACTAATTTTTAGATGATGTAACATTATTTTACACAGCGCTAAAATGGAATGGAAAGTATAATAAAAAGTATTTAAGTTAATGCAGACTATGGCTTTTTAAATAATTTGAATTTCAAACAAAATGAACATAATTTTTTTTTCCAATAGGAAATAGCTTGAGTTATTTTATACCAATGCCACATTCTATAATACTACACACTACAATAGATATTCTTTTTACATATGATTGATTATGTAGCATTGTAATGAAATTACTTTTGTAAAGTCCTGTGTGTACTTGTCTCCAGTTTTCATTGCAGTTAATTATTATTAGACAGTAATGGGATTTAAAAGGGACATACACGTACTTGCATATTGGTGTTTGAAATGTACTTAAAGACATAGTAAATTTACAAAATTCATAAATAAATTTCTAATTCCAAAATTAATGTTTTCATTGTGCAGTGGCTGCTGTTTAACATGATTGAATCAGTAAGAAAAAGTTTTGATCATTATAAAGGGCTGAGTTCATTAATGAAATATATATATTTTTACAAGAAAAGAGATATTTTCTTAATTTTGTTTTTGGCATTACTGGTGTAAGTATAAAATAGGATTTAATAAAGCAAATTTAGATTAAGTTATAAAGTTTAATTTTCAATTAAAAATCTGAATTAAAGAAAGTGAAACTGCTCTAATTACACTATCCTCTCATTTCTCTATAAGTAACACCTAGATCTTCTTATACTTTTGCATTTTAACAGATTGCAAAGACAAAGCATAACCACTTGGTATTTCTAACGCTGTGTCTCAATGCTTTAAAAATTAATTTCGAAATTCTAACGTAAGAGTAGCTAAATTATTTTTAATGTTATCATGCATAAATAATTCATTCTTAGAAATTTTATGATATCATTATTTATTTTTAGATGCAGATGTCACACGCCAGTGAGTTTAAAAACAGCGGACACAAAAGGATTTTAGTAAGGTAAAAAGAATTTTTAATTTTAAGAATAAATTGACAATAATGCTACTTCAGAATATTTATGAAATAATGTCTAAATATTTACTAATCTTCATACAAATTGAACACATTTTAATCATAAAATATCCTAATACAGTAACTTCAATAAAAAAAATAATGACAATTTCTAGCCCATACAGCTAATTTATCCATTAATTCAATCAATAAATAAGCTATCATACAGCTACAATAGTATATCTAGGCAGTATTGATATACCTCATATTTAAAATTTAATATGAATGAAAATTATAAGTAGGAAATCAACTTGACTGTTTAAAGTGGTTCAAAATAGAATAAAGAAAATGTTAAATTTTCAATTAGATATTATTGGTTCAAGTTTGTACAGATCTGAAACAGAAAAATTATATTGTTTTTTAGCACAATATTAATCAATTCAGAATAGCTTTTGCTACTGGAAGGTATCAACCAAACAAGAGATGTTTTACTTAAACAACAATATAATTGTTTATAATATAATTAAAAAAAAACTATATGTTTACATCAAGGGTGATTGTAACACAAAGTGTAAAACAGTGAAATTTTATACGAAAAAAATTGAGATTAAGATAACCAATTTATTTACCATTCATGTTTCTTATTTAATATACTTTTTTGAACGAACATTTAAAAATAAATTACATACTAATGAAGAATAGCACATTAATAATAGCTAATTCAAGAAAAAACTAACTTCTAACAAGAATCGCAATATTAAAATTTAAAATAGTGAGAATATAAACCGACAATGAATTTAAAAAAAAAAATACAAACTGTTATTTTGAATTTCTTAATCGACTTATGATGCATAATTTTTAGATCATGTGAATACAAATCCCAATGCATAGTTTTTAAATCAAGTACATAAATAGGAAAATTGATGTTCGACATTACAACCACGCTAATACGCATCACAATATAAGATTTCAAACTGGCATGAACACAAATTGCGACATAGGGTTTTAAAACACGTAAACACAAATCACAATATACAATTTTTAAATCAGTAAATATGAATCATAATGCGTACATTATAAATCAGGTTAATATGAAAATCAATGTTTGATATTAAAATCACTTGAAAAAAATTTTGATATTAGCAGATTCCTAATGTTTAAAATGGCAAAAATCCAAGAAACAAAAAGAATCAAATAGGTGGAATAATCATTTGTATATCAAGGTCTCGTTAACAGGATATAGCAAAAGTTTCAAAATTTCGTCGAATTGCAAGTTTTTGATTCGAGGAAGTATGTAAACCAATTGTTTTGAGATATACCCACAGAATTCTGCAATATGCTAGCAGAAAATCATATACCCTACTTAAAGTTTTTAGATTCGGAAGAATGATAAAAAAAAATCTGGAATACTGTCACCCCTGTGACTGTATGTCTGGGGGGTGACTACGAGATTTACCCTTTGATTTTGCCCCTTTCTGTGATTTTTTCTAAACTTCTCTAATGCTATTTTTGAAAAGCTTCCATGTATATAAAATTGTACAGTAATACTACTTTTTACACGTTGTCAGAAGTAATTACAATATATGCAAGTTAGTAACATTCAGTTTAATCTATAGTTACAGTCTAATCATTAATGTATTGAAATAGATGAATAATGATTTGTAGATAGATTAATTATACATAAATTTAATTGAAATCCACGGAATGAACATGAAACTAAAAATCAATGTATTTAAATAAAGTTAAAAGAGGGAAAATACCCTCAGCTTTTTCATCCATAACAGCATGCTTTTCAGACAAAATTCTTTCTTGGATATCATGATTGAAATATATTTTAGCAGGAATAGTATCAATCAATTTTATTAAGAATTCGTTCTCGATTAATAGACTTTGTTTAACTTTATCAAAATCAGAATCATCAACATTGATTGATAAATTAGTCATATTTCAATTGAAACAAAACAATTATTTTTTTTTATGTAAAGTTAAAACATAGGATGCATGGTAAATAAAATAAAATAAATTTATACTGAAATAACATGCGGAATTTTGAGTTAAAATTTGTTTACAAATAATGTATTGAGATCACGGCTACAGTTAAATAATGATAAAAAGTTATAGTTAAACAGTTCAGTAGAAGTAACTTTTATCATCTTTTATACTTTTAATGAATAATATATGTATAAATTTCAATTTTAAAGCAATTGTTATTTTTAAAGGCAATTTATCTATTAAAAAAATGCAAAATTAATATTAGTGTATTTGTTTTAGAGAAAATAGCAACAAGTACTTTATAGCTTCTTTGTTTATTTATTTACGTTCGCTTGGGAATTTGACACAATCAGGTGAAAATTAATATTTTATTTAGTTTTAGTATTCATTATAAAGTTTTCAATAACAAATTGTCGTATTATTTATGACATTTCTTTTTTGAACCTTTAAAAATCAACTATATGCTTTGCTTTGGTGTAATCTTTATTTTGCAACAAATGATTGTATCATCAAATATTTTGTTTGATCATTAGGGGGCATCAAATTAAATATTTAATTTCTTAAAGCCATTTAAAAATTGTTACAAAAATTAATGTGAAATCCTGAGCTTGTAATAAATATTAGTTAGATGATTCATTTGACCGGATATAGGCGTTGACAATCGCTGTCTTTTTTTTCTTCTACAAATTGCTATAGAATCATATCATTTTAACCATGATATGATTTTACAGCAGTAAATAATATCATGATTAAATTTATTTACTGCTGTAATTTTAATACAGTCAGTAATCATCTGACTGTATTAAAATTGCTGTCATATCATTCATATATTCAAAATCATATCATTTTACAGCGTTGAAAATTTTTTGATGCAGTGCAATTTCATAATTTATTAACAATTTGATCAAAAGTCATTAGTTAAAATAATGCTTTAGCATCATTCTTTATCATATTACTTTAAACACTGTTACTTTTAGTACGGAATAGTAGTTTCAATCAAAATTTCTTACATTTTTTTTACGCTATAAAGTTTGTACTCGATAAAAATAATTTGCTTCGTTAATTACCAGATATGCTCCGCATTATTTGTGTAGAAGAAAAGAGTAATCTGGGAAGAATAACACTTTATTACTGTGCTTTACTGTAAATGTAGTATCTGCATTTCTAGCAGGTGTTGGCATTTCAAAGATCTGAAGAAAGTGAATAGAAGGAGTGGCCACAGAACAAGGAAAACTGTGAATTTGATCAATCTGGAAAAACCAGGAAAATTGACTAATTTACCCTTTTTAAAGTCCCGGAAAATAATTTATTATGATTTTAAAGTGCTTAAAATTACTTGTAATAATTTTTTTTGGGAAAAAAAATTCTTTTTCTTCAACTCTAACGACAAACATGGAGATTATGTCACACATTTCATATATTAGAATAAGGCATAATTAAAAAAAATAATAATAGTAAAATGTGTGCTATCGGTTATAAAAATCTGGGAAATTTGATGTAATAGTGGAGAAATCTTAGATTTTTTTCTTCTTCTTTGAATGTTTGTGGTTAACCTGATAGACATTTCTTTTCAAATTGACATTAATTTTCAAATATATACTTTCTAAAATTGATGAAACTATAAAAGTCAGGTTATGTTCTTCAAACAATGAAAACTTACAGTAAAAGTATTTTCATGACGTAATATATGAATAATAATTTACCAAAAGAGTTGTATTTTAGTAAAAGGTAAAAATAATTAATTTCATGTAACTGTACCTTCAATTTTTCTAAAGTATAAATTGTCAATTTTGATGCTTGTAAGTTAAACAAAAATTAATTTTTGTGCTTTAACTAAAAGTAAAGAAATTTTTTTATTTATTGCAGTATTTTTTATTTTAAACCACATGCAAAGTATTTGAAGAATCATAATTGGAGGCTGAGCAATCTTCGAGAGGCTGTAAGAAATCTGTTATGAAAATGCACAGTATTAGTGTCAATGATATAATGGCGACATGATATAACTATTCTTAAAAGCGATTAATGCAGACAATCATCATATTGTGGAAGCTCTAAAAATTTTTTTTTGGCATTCATGATAAATGTTTATCAAATTTTAAAATTTATTATTGATGGAGTTTTGTAGATTACAACTCTAACATACTAAAAGAAAAATAAAGTTATGCCTGGTTAACCTTCTTGAGTATGTAATTATGGGAGGTTCTGCATGTTGTAATTCCTTTTTAACCATGAAAGTGATTCAACAGCTTTTAATATTTGTCATAAAAGTATATGAAGAAAAATAATAATTTTGAATTATCTAATATTTTTTAATTTTTAATCATTTCTTAAACTTATATTTTATTTAGTTTTATTAAATATGTTATTCCTTTTTATCTTTTAGATAACACTATCAACATGGCTGAAACAACAAAAGATGCAAACTTGATTCAACTCTCTCGCTTTTTGTATCTTGGAGATGAATCTAAAATGTATCCTGATTCAGTAAAATATCCCTTTAATCCTGAAACTTGTCAATTTCTCAAGGAGCTGATGCAGTCTGGTTTGGTTCAAGAAGCTGTTGAAGAGGTTATTCGTTCTTTTAAGGAAGGTCATTTTATAGGTTGCGAAACCTTACTGTATGTCTTAGCTGTATTTGCACATCCTTCAAATAATTCTTATACGAAAGGGAAAGCTTTTGAAGCTGCAGCTGAGATCTGTTCTTCTGCTTCCAATATGCTTACCTTTATTTACATTTTTAAAGATGTCATTAAGCCATTGAAAGGTTGGGGTCGAATGAGTCGAAATTTCCTTATTAATTGGTATGTTAAAAGGGATCCCAAGGATTTGGCTATGGAAGTGACGAGAGTCAAGTCGCGTCATAAGTGGACACATAAGGATGTTCTTTGTATGGCTCATGTAAAGCCTAGTAAACCAGGTACTATTTATTATTATTTTGTTAGCTTTTAAAGCATTTATTCAATATAATAAATGTTTGTTTATTGTGATCTTGCAGGCTCTTTTCCCCCTCTTATTCTGATCGTATCTTTTTATTGTATTTTATGTAGAAGTATTTATTTATCCCTCTGATCCGTTTTCCCTATCTCTGTTTATTATATTTTACTTATTTCTTTTATCCATTAAGTTCTTTTCCTCCAAATTGAAATCCTCAAATCAATCAATGAAAATTATATCATTAAAGAAATTTTATTGTATATAATGGCAAAATATAATTTTAATTGAAGAACATTAATCTGCTATAGCTACTAGAGCAGTGATTCCACTTAAGTGTTATAATCTGACAAATATGCCGAAAGTTGTAAGGGGATACGAAAAAAAGGTGACATGCTTCGTGATGCATAAATCTCCATGACCAAAGGAAAATAGCTTGCCAAAAGATTTATGTTGGCAAAATTAAATAAAAATTCCATACCTTATGTATTAATAGCAGAAGAAGAAAATAAAAGTAAATGTAATGTAAGGAAAATTGACATAGACATTTTGGTTTTAATTCTTTGTTGAATTATTATTACTGAATCAATTACTAATAACTTTTTTCATAAATATTAATTTTTCATATTTATTTTTAAAATTGAGATTTATTATTTTATATCAGGACCCCCGTGGCAGAATTGTGGCGACACGGCGACATTGTCGCCGAACATTACAGAATTCTTGCAGAAAGATTTTTTATTTGGGAAGCAAAGAAGTTTGAGTTTTTTTTTATCTACAGATTTAAATGCTCATTGATAATATTATCTAAATGAAATATTTAAATGTTCAGTCAGATCTTATATTTTATAAATTATTTTAAGTTTTAAATCACTTTAGGGCCACAGAAAAGAACTGATATTTCTTTAAGATGTGTAAAAATAGAATATTTAGTAAGAACTATAAGAAAGAAAAAGGTTCCGCTGTGAAATGATTGTAAAGACATGGTTCCCAGCAGAACACCAAAGTCAAGTTCAGTGGCTGCGGTCAGTAAGTGGGTGGGTGACGATTTTAATTAGCCTGCTTTAGGTACTAAAGTTGCGCGGTATCAGTCCTCGTTAAGCTATTCTACTGTAAGCAGTGCTTGACTCGCGCATAGATTGTTGGGCTACCAAAGCGGAGAAATCATTCCCTCTGCAGTGGATAAAAATTGTGATGGCTGTCTTCTGGTTATCTTCAGTAATGTTTCCCAGACAGTTGCCAACGGCCAATTGTGCAGCTCTAGTGCGACATAAATATAGTACCTACTTATGTTACCTACCTACTAGAAAAAAAAAGTTTATTATGAACTTTGAAATGACAATGATATTAAGTATATAAATGACAGTGTTTTAATCATTAGTTATCTCCTGTAAATATTTATGCTTTATTTATTTTCTTAGGCAGTGCTGCAGTTCTAAAAGCAATAGTAAAAGGTTTAGAATGTGCAGAAAAAGAATTTGCTGCTGAGCCAGAAGCTGAGCCAATTTTAAATTTCTTGAAAGGTGTTCATGAAGTTGTTCATGCCACTGATCCTCAAGCTGCTGCTAGACTTATTGAAATTCACAACTTGTGCCTTGAACATATTCCAGACAAAATTATAAAATCTAAAGAGGTACTTATGTTTTAAAATATATTATTCACAAAATATATTATCAAATAGATTTATGAATTTCATCTTCTAAGTTAAGATAATTAATGATTAAGAATTGATAAAGGTAAACTTCTTCTTTGAATAACTTTATTTTTTAAAATTTTTATCTGTCATTTAAAGTTGTCAAGGTATACTTTGCCATCTTATTTTAAAGTTTGTCTTAGTATCCATATGCAGTAGAACCTCGATTAATCATTTCATGAGGAACTATTCATTATGAACAAAAGATGCACGAAAACGTCGAATGCGAGTCTACTTAAAATATCAAATACTGACTAGAAAATGCATAAAAATTAATAAATGTACAATAATTATAAAAATTTTACTTGTATAAACTAAAATAATTCCTTCTAAAATATTTATGATGCGAAAGAAGGATAAATAATTTTTTTTATTTATTTTAAATATCTGGAAATCTTGGTTCTCTTTCTTCTCAGTGCAAACTATAAATTTTGGACCTTTGTTACAGATTGCTGTTAGTTTTCTGAAAGTTTGTGTGAATACAAAAAGTTTCTCATTGTTTTAAAGGCCTTTTGCAAATGTTTGCACTAATTGGTTGCATTAAGTTCGGTCTTCATCTTTATCACTTTGCACTTCTTCAGTTTCTGCAACCATTTCTTGAATAGATAACACCACAAATTTCAAACATCAAACCTGTTATTTGAGGCATTTTACCTAAACTGTAACAAATCCACATTTTCTTCATTATTAGCATCGGATGTTACTTTCTTCTTGAATCAAATTAACTTTAATATTTTTGGAAAATGTTTTTCAATTTCTGAATGATAGATGTAAGAATCTTCTATTTTCGAAAAATTATCTAAACAGATATCAACATTATAAGAATAGCATTTGGGATGGGATCGTTGAAACAAGAAGATACATACAGTTTGACTGTGCTACATGTAGAACCTAGACCCATTAATGAGTATCAAGTCAACTATGTTCTATTTCAAAACACGTTTTTTTGTTATATTATTTGTTGCCGTGAAAGTGTTTAACAATGTATCTAATTTCATAAATTATTTAAATGAGCAAATTATGTGTCTAATTTTTGAAAATGTTTGGAGGGTTGACGAAAAAATAGTTTGATCATAGGTTTTTTAAAATTTTTTTTTTTAAGGTTTTATTTTAAGAATTATGTGTTAAAAATTGATACTTTCTTAGTATCTTATCTTTTCATATTCTTTTTTCTTTCTTCTACTCACATAAGTCATTTAGTTTATGCTACTTTAACAATCTATTACTAATTATGTGAAATTTATCTACCTACTCTTTGTTGATTAGTCAATCGTAAGCTTTTTATTATTTATTGAGTTAACCCTCTGAGCGCAAGCCCTGATTTTTCCGAATTTTTCGATGCAGGCTTACCTACATTAAAAAACCAGTTTTTCCACGTTAATAAATAAGAAAATAGCAGGGAAATTTTTGCACAATTTTACTCAGGAGCTCAATAATTTTTAACTTAATATTTGTTAACACTTGGATAGTTAATAATTATTAATGGAATCTATTGTATATATTCATATTTTGTATTCATATTTTGTATTCATATTTTCTGGTATTTTCTATAATCATCTTATTAAAGAAAAAAAATGTGTAATACGAACATACTTTTTGGGCTGGTCTCAAGACACTTTTCGATTTTATGTTGTACAAATTGAGCAATTAGCGTTCATAGTTAAGTGAAATTTTTTATGTGTTGAGATACTGGAGGATTTGCTTTGTACTTTGCTCTTGATGGAATTTTACCAGATTAAAAACACTGCAGATTTAGTACATGTAAATTAAAATTCTCAAACTTATTAAATGATTGTATTAAAAATATTGTACTATTTCTTGCTTAGATTTTTCCCAACATTTTTGAACTTGCTAGAAATTATATCATTTTTCAATACCATTTTGGTATACACTCATAGTAATTGCCACAAATAAAGGGATTCATTTTTAATAATTATATTAATTGTTTTAGGTGTCTTTGTGTATAATTCCTCGTGTACCACTTCCTAGTCTGTTGAACCAGCTGCCTCGTTATCACAAAGTGGGTTTGTTGAAACTTAACAGTCCCCATTACAAAGCAGCTCTGGAAAGATTAACTACCGAAGAAGCTTTGAACAGTGAAGACATAGGACCTCTAGATACATTTTTAGCTATACGACGTTGGCAAATTTCTTGTAAACCCATGTTAAGACAAAGTACACCTGCTTTGGATGATGCCCTTCAGAATTTACACTTGGAATCTTTTAAGGTTTGTGTTTATGTTGTTCTTAAAAAGATTGTTGTTAAAAAAATTCTTAATAGGAATGCAGTTTAGAGATTTTAAAATGTAAATGTTTTACACAGTTTTATTAGATTACAATTAATTTTATTATNCTTGGATCAGTCTGCGTAGGGACCGAGGGTGTGCGGTATTGGTCCTCGTTAAACTGTGCTACCGTAAAGTGCTCGACTTCGCGCCCAGGTCGTCGGGCTAACGAAGTGGGGGTGCCATCCCTTCCGCAGAGGATCAAAATTGTGATGGCATGTCTTCGGATCATCCTCCGGGATGTTTCCCAGACCGTCGCCAATAGCCCATTGTGCAGCTCTAGTGCGACGTAAAGTAACAACAACAACAACAAATATAAAAAATAACTATATTTTTCATTTATTTTTGTAAAATTTTTCATTAAAAATAATTTTTTTATCACAAATGTTATGATTTTAAGTATTAAATTATATCTTTATATGGGTGTTCAAAGAAAGTAATGTGATTTAAGAATGTATTCAGAAATAAATCTCCCTTCATCATTTTTCAATCTGCATCGACTACTAGGTCAAACATATTTCAAAATCAATTCAGATAGTTATATCACATTAGCTAACTAAATGAAATCTAAAATTAATAAAGAAAAAAAATGCAAGGAAAGTTTAAATATATTTTAAGTTTCTCAAAAAATTAATTCTGGAACTTTAATTTAAAAAAAAAAATGTGGATTTAGTTAATTAAAAGGTAAAAAAGTTGTTTTGGAGAACTTTGGTTTGATGTTTATAGGGAAAACAATTTTAATTTTATAAGAATATCATAGAGTTATTCAACTTAATATACTGGCAGTTTTGACATTTTTATTAATACTGCTTCCAAATGTTCGCCCTTTTTTTAAATTTTATTTAACTGTGGTTCAGGTTAAATCCTCCCCTTCTTCTATCAGAAAATTATTGTATAAGAGTCATTTTTCTCTCACCTAACTCGAGATAGATTGTTTTTGCCCATAAAAATCATAGGCTTTTTCTAAGTGCATGGCTGTTTGTAGGTAGAAAATAGAGTGAGGTTTTCTATGTGTGTGTGCATGACCATTTGGGATTAAGTACAAAAAAAAGGATGACTTTCTATGTGCAGAACTGCTGGTAGGTTTAAAAGGATGATGTTGAATTTTTTTTGCAGAATTCAAAGACAATCAATTTAAGAATTTTTTTTTCTGTCTTACGAAATGCAATTAGAACCTTCATGTACTTAACACTGCATTTAGTGTTAATGCTATCTTTGTCACTAGCCAAATTACCTCTTATTATTTACAAATTTATTATTCATAATCTATTTCCACCTTTTAAGACATAAATTAAAGGTATATATTTTATTGTTTAGCGGATACGGACAACAGAAAAAAGATACTTGGTTGCGATTGATGTTGGTGTATCAATGAATCTTAGCAAGTGTTCTGGTTGTAATGCCGTGACACCTTCACACATTGGTGACATTGTACTCATGGCACTTGTGAGATCTGAGCTTTCTAATGTCACTGCCCTTGTTTTTTCTGAAAATGAGCTAGTGCAAGTGGATATAAACCATAAAATGACTCTTGTGGATATAGTTGAGCGTTTAAATGAAGTAGGTTTTAATAACTGTAGTACTGTTTTTTCCATTATATTTTCTTGTTATTTCCTTATAATTTATTGATGACATGTGGTTGTTAATTTTCCTTAATCTTTTTCAAGAGACTTTGATATTAATTTATGATATGATTTTTTACTTTGATGATATGAGTATTATTGTAAATCTCTTGATTTTTACCAAACACTTCTAAATATTTAAAAAGTTATTTTCAATAATTCTTATGAGTGTTTTCAATTTTTAATATTTGGGGTAGTTTTGAGAAGTGATAATTTTTTCTATTTAAATATTACAATCAAACATGGAAAATTCGAATTCTTTGATTTGAAGTACTAGATATAATTGGAAGGATTTGCTTGATTTTGTATAAAATAATGTAAAAAANGTAAAAAAAAAAAAAAAAATCAGATCATTAGAATTTCAACTAAGATAACTTTTTTTTTTTTTATAGTTAAAATTTGTGAAAAATCGTTCCTGAAATTTTTTTTAAAGACAAAAAATGGACTTCCCTTTCTATTACATTAAATATTAGTAATTCTAAGCTTGTCACTGCTTAGAAAAGATTTGAACCTGCATTTTCAACAGCAGAATCTGTTTTGGTGGAGTTTGAAAGACAGATTTTCTTTAAAATTTAAATGAGTTAAAAAAAAAAATTACAAGCTGTAATCTGCATGAAGCTTTTTTTTATATTTAACTTACATTACATATTTTTATTAAGGAGCCAACTAATCTCATTGTTTAATTATGATGAATTAATTATTCTTACTTAAATTGAGATCATTTGTTATATTTTAATAGCTTAAGAAATCATTTTATATATTAAATTATATTTTCTCTCAGAATTTGTAAACCGATTTTTGCAAAAAAATTGGTTCTAGTTTTAAGATCTGCAATGAAATTTTATGTACCTAAGACCTAGGACATGCTCTTTTCTTTTTATTTAAAGAAATTTCAAACTTGTAAATTTATCCGATTTTCATTTGTAGCCCAATTTATTCATCTAAAAATAACACACATTTTTTGACAAACTTAAATTTAAATTCTAAAATGTAATTTTCCGTAAAATATTTATAATGTGTTCAAAATTTATTTATTTTCTGTTGTGAAGGATTAAAAAAAAATTTACAATAGCAAAAATTTATTTTTTTCAAACACCTTTTAGGCTGTTATTAAAGTTTTTTTTTTAATATATTAAATAATATTTTCTATCAGAATTTGTAAACCGATTTTTGCAAAAATATTGGTTCTAGTATTTACAAATCTCTGTTTTATTAAAATTTATTTTTTATGTGAAATCATTCATGTGATATTATTCAAAATTTGTCTTTGCAGTTTAGTAGATATGATTAAACTTTATGTATGTTTACTTCCATTTTTAAAGAAGTCCATGCAAAACTTTATAAATAACAAAGTTTAATATTAATTGTTTTTACCTAATGTAGCACCATAAGTCAAAGTTTCACATTTTTTTTGAAGAAGGATAAGTATAATAATTTTGAAATATTCAAGATTATGTCTTATATTAAACAGATTATTATTTTAACCCTCTGATAGTTTTATAAACAGAGGAAATGTGGGATTCCCTTGTATACTGTTGTTTTATCAAGCAACTTCAGAAAACTAGCATTGTGTAGAAAATTGCTTGTTCAAATGAAATTTTCTATGTGCCTGTCAATTCCATTATGCCATGAAGAGGTTTAAAATGTCATTCTTAAAAATTAAAAACTTTCATTTTATAGAAGTTAAAATTTTATGAATTTATACAAAAGTTTAATTCTTTGATGCTAAATGTAAGCTTTCAATGTATTATTGTTGCTATTTAAATACTTATTAGAATGTTGTTATTAGGTACCTGCTGGTCCAATAATTTTATCTGCACCCATCAACTATGCTCTTACTAAAAAGCTGCGCTTTGATGCCTTTGTTGTATTCAGTGACATCAATTCAAAAGCTGATGATAGTGATTTAGTTAGTACCATGAAAGAGTACAAGGAAACGATGCGGCTACCAAATACTAGGTAGTATAAGACAATTTTATTAACAATATTATTAATATATTTTTTTTATCATTATTTATTTAGCATTTCAATTTCTTTCTTCTTTAAAGTTCATTTATTTCCAAATTTTGAAATTAATGGGGAGTCAAATTCTGCCTTTCTATAATGTAAAAATACACTTGTCTCAGACCATTTCTTGTTGTTGCATTTTTAGTGGACAGAAAAACTATCGATAGGATCTTTAATCGATTTTCAATTTCATTTAGCTTTTTAAAAGAAGTTTCAAAATGCTTAGACTTTGCAGGAAAAAAAGACATCTAACCTAACTCTTGAAACAAAGCCTAACTGGATTTTTAAAAAAATTCTGTAGATTTACTTATTAATAAGCTGATTTTTAAATGCAGTTTTGAAAAAAAATCATCTGTATTAGAGAAGTATTTTTTTTTTTTCATTTGCCCTACTTGTTATTTGGAAAAAAATGCGAAACTGATTTTCTGTTCAAATGTTTGAAGCATGCTTTTTCAAAACTTCCAATAACTTAACATCTATCTTAGGTCATGAAATAATCATATGATCATACACTGACTGAGCAAAACTCATGGGATATCCTGGAACACGTCCGGAGGTAGTTGGCACCACACATCCTACAGAGCGGCAGTCAATTGTAACCTGTTTGTGGGTTGAGGATTCAATGCCCTGAACCTGACGTCGAGGGCATCCCAGATATGTTCAATGGGGTTCAGTCGTTGGATCTCACCTGCATGCTCGTCGAACCAGGCATGGACGATATTGGCGCGATGTGGGGCTGCATTGTTATCTTGATACACAGCAATGTCATCATGGTGTTGAAACATGACAAAGGGGTGGAGATGGTCTCCAAGCAGCTGAAGATACCGCTGGCCAGTCAATGTGGCATCCAGAACGACCAGGGGGCCCATTCCATGCCACGAAAATGCACCCCACACCATGACTGATGGGCCACCGGCCTGGACTGTGCCCACTTGGCATGCTGGATCCATCGCTTCTTGCAATGTGCGCTTCACACGATGTCTCCCATCAGCATGGAACAGTTGATAACGTGATTCGTCAGACCTGACTACGTTACGCCACTGTTGCAGTGTCCATCCGTGGTGATTGGTGGCAAATGCACACCGAATTGTCCGATGACGCTGGGTTAGCAGTGGAACACGTGTGGGGCGACGGCTCGCATACCCGAGAACACGCATGTTCCGACAGATTGTCCACTGGGACACATCTCTGTCACGGCCAGTGTCGAATTCAGCCGTGATTTGTTGCGCATTTGCTCTCCTATCTCGAGTTACCACTCGTCTCAGTCGTTTAGGGCCTGTGGACGGCCGGTATGGTATCTGTTGTGGACTGTGTCACCCTCATTCACCCATTCTCGGTAAACTCTCAACACGGTTGACCTTGGGAAGTCGAATTCCTGAACCACTTCCGAAATTGAATGCCCCATGCGTCGGGCACCCACAACCATGCCACGTTCGAATGCCGTCAACTCACGACGACGTTGCATTTTGCCTGATCACTCACACAGCCACTTCAAGCAATGTCTAACACACAACTGAGACCGTCGCAGAGGCCACCAGATGGCGTTGGTCACACGTACTGTCCATCCACAAATCAGAGCCCTGCTATCCCATGAGTTCTGTTCTGTCAGTGTATATTGTGAAAAAAGTATATGAATTATTTTTCTAAGAATAAGCAGTTATTTGATATATTTTAGGAATAAAACCCACAAATTTAAAATATCTTAATAACTTCACCTTAAGTATGCTTAAACGCCGTCACGACAGTCCTCCCAAGAGGACCACTGTCTGACCACCAGCACATGGTGGTCGGAAAGCGGTCCTCACATTATATCTATCTTGTAAATAAGACTTTTAGGTAATTATCAATTATATTGTGTTGTTAAATAATTAATTTTTCTTACAATAAGTAATTGGTAATGGTGATTATTATATTTTTTTTATGAATTAGTATTGATTAATAATGATCTTATGTACCCTTCTCTTTAAATGATCCAAATCTATTATTAAATTCATTTTCTCAAAATATTTTTCAAGTTTTAAAACTCAAAATATTAAAAATGCCTAGACTATCATTACCACTGGTCATTGTTTTTTTTAACCCCCTATGTTTAAAGTAGTTTTTTTTCTCCCCTTTTGGTTATTATGATAAAAATATGATATTTATTGTATTTCGCAGGTATGTTCTATCAACTCTCTGTGATAGAAAATCTACCTTCACTCAAGAGGGTCCTGACTTTTTGAATATTGTTGGATTTCACACTAAGCTTGTGCAGACTATTCAAGATTTTACATGTGGTTTGTTTTAACAGAAGGGGCCTTTTTAATCAATATTTCTGAATTACGGGAACCATATTTAAGTGTGCTCTGTCCTCATGTTGTATTTGTACATGTCTATTGTGGCATCATTTTAAAGAGTGCAGCTCTTTTTATTATTAAAAGAATATTTTTATGTATACCGAGAACAAGTCTTGTTAATGCAGTGAGTTGTGAGATATATTTACTTTCTAAAATTAAATGAATTATAAGGATGCATAATTTAGTTCCATCTCAGTTAAATAATTTTGTTCTAGTTATTATTTGTGATTTCAACTGAAAATTTTCTTCATTACATTTGACACATAAAGGGCTTAGAAAATGCTAGTAAACTGTACTTGTTAGTTGTTCGTCAGTAAGCCTCTTTTTGTGTACTGTTGATTTACATGCCTGTATGTGATAGATTATTTATATTGACTTTACAACTACATTTTTGGGAGCATGGTATGTAGATTTTTGAGGCTTATAATTTCAATTTGTTTTAGTTTTACTTATATGTAAATAGTTGTGAATGAATTTTAATGCTATTGCATAGAATAAAAATTCATGTACACCTTTTGTTCTACCTTCGGGATATTTATTATACAATTTAAAAAAAGCCATTATTTTTGTTAGTATCATTAAAATATATATTGCATTTTAATTATGACTTTTGCACAAGTAACATAATTTTTTATGACTATGTTAATTTTCATAATTTTAATGAACACATTTGTATTTTGTTGAAAAAAAAATGTAATCCTCATTTGACAAAATAAACCAATCAGCTTTTTTATGAATATCTCTCATTTTTATATACTTTTTATAATTGTTCTATACTTATATTAGAGGCATTTTGTATTAATGCCAGCTTCATTATTTAAATTCTTTTTTCACACTTCAGTTATTTGAATGTGAATTTAGACTTAAGTGTATTATTTAGCTTTCTAAATGGTACTAAAAAAACCCAGCTTGCTTGAAAGTTCTTAGTTAGTATACCATTCAATGTAAAACTAATTATTCTATATAATAAAATTAAAAAATGTTTGAAAGAAAGGTTGGAAAATTCTCGTAATTATAGTTAATTTTGTGCAAATCATATTGCGTTAAAGAATCACATCAGATAAATTATATGGAGATCAGATAAATTATCTTCTTGCAGAGTCATGAATGCTTTAATTTACTAGAATACTGATCAATTTACTTAAATTGAGTGAGTACAATTTAATTTGAAGGAGTTGACTGTGTTAAACATAAACAATATTAAATAGGTATAAATATTACTTTAAAAGTAAATAGTTCAGTGTAAATAATGGTGTAAAAGTAAACACAGAAAAAAACAACAATAAAATGATAAAATATCTAAGGTGCTGTTGGATCATGAAACCTATGTTAATTTTTAACTTATTAAATTTTCTGAGGACTCAAACTGGTTGAGGATATTTTAAAAAAATAAGATAAACATCAATGTAGGTTACGTCACTCAAATTCTCAATGGTCCAGATGAATTCTTTTCACCCCTTCTGAATAGCAAGCCTCCCTATTAAGAAGTGTATAATACAAGAGAAATTGCAACAATTAGTGAAATACAATGAGCAAAAAAAAAAGAAAAGAAAAAAAATCCCCATGAGTCTGCATTTTAATTCCTTCATGATCAGATTTTCATTTACTAGAACTCATCTTAATTATTTGAGGTGACCTCAAATATGCTAATTAGTAAGTGCTAATGATATTTTCAGTTTGGAAATCAGACACTAGAATGTATTTTCTCAGAAGAAACATACCTTTTTTTTCGACGGGTTATGATTTTGTACCCCCAAAATATAGGAGGTTGCCCCAATCTAGGTAATATTGCTCCAATAACTTGGTCAGGAGAACAGTTCAAAGTTTGTACTCCTTAATTGCAAGGTTTACAAATTTTTACATAATGTTAATTTCCCTTTTTGCATATTCTGCTATATCTTGGGGACTTTTAATGCAAATTTGAAAAATTTTACAAACAAATATAAATTCTCTAAAGATAATTTCTTGCAAAAAAGAAAAAAAAATCTAATAGTTATTTATAAATTTTTATTATTTAATGTAATTATGATCGAAAATTTTGATAGCAAGGTTTACAAATTTTTACGTAATGTTAATTTCCCTTTTTGCATATTCTGCTATATTGTGAGGACTTTTTATGCAAATTTGAAAATTTGCACACAAATATAAATTATCAGAAGATAATTTCTTGCAAAAAAACGAAAAAAAATCTTTTAGTTATTTATCAATTTTTATTACTTAATATAATTATAGTCGAAAATTTTGATTGCAAGGTTTACAAATTTTTTCATAATTTTAAAAATGTAATTTTATCTTGCAAAATTTGAACAAATCAGACAAATAGTCTTTTTAAAACAAATTTTCAAAAAGATATTTCAAATTTAATTTCTCGGGAAGTATTTGTCCATTTTCTTGTGAAATTAAAATTTTGAAATTAATGTAAAAATTTTTATACTTTACTATTTAAAATTTGTTTGATTAATAATAAATAAAAATAATAAATATTTACTAAACTGTTTATTGCATGGAATTATCTTTGGATAAACAAATTTTATAATTTTGTGCAAAAATTTTCCAACTTGCTTAGAAAATTCCAGAGTTATGGCGAAATATGCAAGAAGTAAAATTAAGTCACAAAACTATTGGAACCATATTTCCCAGATTGCAGTTACCCCTATATTATGAAGAGTCAGAAATTGTAATTCGTCAAAAAAACGCTTTTTTCTGAGAAAGTACATTTTTGTGTCAGATTTTGTAACTTAAAATATTGTCTGTACTTACTAATTTGCATATTCGAGGTCACCCCTTCGAAAAAAATCAGATTTTACGTAAAAATCTGATCATTAGATCAAAAATTATTTAGAGGGATTTTTTCCCAGTGTGTGTTAGATCATTTATTAAAATAGGACCAAATGTATAATGAATCTGCTTTTAATAAGATGTTATTGAAGCAAAATCTTATTTCTTCTTTAACATACATAGAAAAAAATATAGTTATTGTTAAACTAAAAAAATTAAATAAATTTAGAAGTTATATATAAAAACACTGAACACTTAAAAAATAATCAATACAAAATTTCTCTCTCATCTATATCACAAAAAGGGGAATGTAGCTTAAAAGAAAAAAAAATAGTTCAGACAGCTTCTTCTTCTTCTTCAAATTCTCCTTCTTCCTCTGCAGTAGCTTCTTGATACTGTTGATATTCAGACACAAGATCGTTCATGTTATTTTCAGCCTCTGTGAACTCCATCTCATCCATGCCTTCACCAGTATACCAATGCAAGAAAGCTTTACGACGAAACATAGCTGTAAGATTGGTGTACATAATATTTTGAATCTTGTATATAGAGCTATTAGATCATATAAAGCATGAACATAGTCTATTTGACAAGCTATAGAATTACGATAAATTATTTGTCAAAACTGACTTTTAAAGCGGTATTCTTTTATTATTTTTTTAAAAATTTCATTACCATTTGTTTCATACAGTTACGAACATTTGTACGTAAAATATAAATATATTGCATTTGTTTAAATAATATTAAGCTTTATGGTGAAATATATTTATACTGCATGTTTTGTAATCAATGCCCTTGGTTAATTTTTAGAATCTTTGTTAAAAATAATGTAAAAGTATGTTAAAATTATAGATTATTATTATGTGTAAGTTAATATTATATGGGCCAAAAAGAAAATTATCAGAATTTGATAAATCATTGTTGAGATCAATAATAAAAACCTGAATGAATAGCATTGAAACCACTTTGATTGCGAGATGAAACTGCATTGTGTTTCTAAATATCTAAAATTCAATGTGTACCTTTTGCACATATTTATGTTTCATTTTAAAATAATGTGTTATATAAAACACATGGATATTTTTTTAGGTTCAAATGCTCAAGAAGCAACCACATATTTATATAAATTATGAGTGGAAGGTGTGAAATAAATATTCCATTTGGAGCAAACTTCTAAATGTTTGAAACATTTGGATTAAATACTTAAAAATACTTAATCCTGACCGTATTTGAAAAAACCAAATACCAGACCAAATTTTTACAAAATTAGTTTTGAAAAAAATCCAATTATTTTAATGAAGAAAACTGATTTAAAAATTAAGAGGACTCTATATTGTGGTAGAAACCCTTTATAGAAATTCACTTTTAATAATATAAGTAATTTAAAATCTATGGTGTAGAAAAAGTGAGTTTTTGTAAACCTAGAGAAAACCATGTACTTTAAAATGCTGAAATTTTTTTTAAAATATCAAACTACAAACAAATTATGACAAGCTAACTCAATATTAAGCGATGCAGAAGTAATCCTGTCATAATTTGTTTGCATTTTAATATTTTTTTCAGAGTTTGAAACTTTATGGTTTATTCTAGATTTATCGCCGGACAGGTGGTCGAGTGGTTAGCGTGCCTGACTGCGAAGCCAATGACTGCGGGTTCGAATCCCGCTCTGGGCATGGAGGTTTCTCTCTGTGTTGTCTTCTGATGTGTGAATGTATAAATGTGGTGCACCCTATTAATGGGTATTTGTGGCTGTGTGACATGGATAATGTTGCTCGCCTCTCTGACTTTGGTTCACAGGTGCCCACTGGGTAACGATAAATGAGCAACACTTCCGGCATCTTCTAAGGCGAAGAACGAAAGTTCAGTGCCTGCCGTTATTAAAAAAAAAAAGAAAAAATTCTAGATTTACCTACATTTACTTATCTCTTAACTTTATTTTTGAAATACCCATGGAGGTGAAATATTGTCATGACAAATATTTCCTGTAGTTTAGTATCTTCTAAATGTAAAAGTTGATGATACAGTGTTAAGTTTTAAATTAATTGAAAGTTTTTTATACATAAATAAAACACAAACAGTACTTTTTGAAAAGCATGAAATGAAACATTCTTGTTACATGCATACCTGTAAATTGTTCTGAAATACGCTTAAACAATTCTTGAATCGCTGTGTTATTTCCAATAAAGGTCGCTGACATTTTCAAACCCCTTGGTGGTATATCACAAACTGCAGTTTTTACATTATTTGGTATCCACTCAACAAAATAGCTGCTGTTCTTGTTTTGAACATTCAGCATCTGTTCATCCACCTCTTTCATGCTCATCCGACCCCTGAAAATAGCTGCTGCTGTCAAGTATCTTCCATGCCTTGGATCACAGGCAGCCATCATGTTCTTGGCATCGAACATCTGCTGAGTCAATTCTGGAACCGTCAAAGCTCTGTACTGCTGACTACCACGAGAAGTAAGAGGTGCAAACCCCGTTATAAAGAAATGCAAACGTGGAAATGGTACCATGTTCACGGCTAATTTACGCAAATCTGCATTAAGTTGTCCAGGAAATCGTAAGCACGTGGTCACTCCAGACATGGTGGCTGAAACTAAATGGTTAAGGTCTCCATAAGTAGGGGTGGTAAGTCTCAGGGTTCTGAAGCAGATGTCGTACAATGCCTCATTGTCAATGCAAAATGTTTCATCTGTGTTTTCTACCAGCTGGTGTACAGAGAGGGTCGCATTGTAAGGTTCGACTACGGTGTCTGAAACCTGAAAATGAATTAAATAAGTTCTTCAAATGGTTACTGTAATATAAAACACAGTAAAATAAAAATTTGTAAAAATTTGTTAGCACAAGGAATTAAAATTATTTTTAAATGAGTAAGAAAATCAATTGCTTTTAAGTTTCTGAATCAAAAAATTAAAAAAATTTAATATATTCACCTATAACTTGAACCGAGAGTTAATGAAAGAGATTAACAAAGAGGGTTTTTCAAATAATGCAGAAAGGAATGTTTTAATTTTGTGAACGGTCGTCAGAATAACTGTTCCACAACTAACAAGTTTCGAGATTTCGTTACAGAATTTGATATGAATTTCAATTGCTGGGAAAAGTTGATGATTGAATGCCAACAAATCAAACTCCCTATAATTTGATTTGTTTTGGTAAGTCTAACTGTTATGGATAGCAGTGAATACATTTGTTTCTGTGCTGATTGTATTTAAAAAACAGGTTCAACATCGCATTCTTTATTTTGTATGAGAACATCATTCAAACGTTAAAAAGTTTTTATAAAAATGCAATGTGAAATAATATCCTAGAACCAAGTATAAGGAGGCAGAACTTTCAATGTTACATGTTTAAACTTAGCACCTTATTATGATATTACGTGAACATCGATCAATATTTTTAACAGTGTCGAAGAAATATTTTTGAAAAACGTTTTCAAAAGTTTTGATAACTCTCTGAGTAATTAACAAACATCTCCAAATTAGTCATATGGATTTACATGATTAATTAAATTCAAACTCGTACTGTGAGATATGAAGCGGATGAACTATTCCAAAATGATTCCAAAAATGTTTGACCAATGACATTAATATATTGGATTGAGTAAAAAGTCATTCCGTTTTTTATTCTAAATTTTTTAAACTCATGTATTTAAATAACAGTTAAAGGTTGATCAATGATATATGTTCTTTTTTGTTCGATAACATTTTGCCATCTTAGGCGAGCTTCATAATTCCTCATTCGTAAAAGGACCTGGCTTTATTTGCAAAAAACTGAACAAGGTGCTGATGAACAGCCTCGTCTAAATTTAACGTTATTTCATGCAAAGAGTTTTGGAAAGAGCGAAACAAGTGCTAGTCTTATGGTGCAATGCCAGGTGAGTATAGTGGGTGAGGCAACATATCCCATACAAGTTCCAATAACTTTTAACAGGTCGTCAAAGATGTGTGTGCTCACATTGTCATGATGGAACTCTACTCCTTTTCAATAGGCAAGCTCAGGACGCTTTTGGATGACAGATTAGTTCAAATTGTCCTATTGCCTACAGTACTCGTCTGAATTGATTGTTCAGTTCCTTGGGTGGAGTTCATCCCCCTCCCCCACACTGAGAAGATAACCTTCCTCTGACGAAATTCTGACTTGAAGTGGTTGGTTGAGAATTTTAACATCGGGACCAAAAACATTTGAGCACCACATTGCTGTAATTGTTGTAGACAATCCACTTCTTATCAATAGTTATCATTCGTTTAAAAAAAGGGTAATTTTCTTCACGTTTCATGAGCATATCTCAGTTGTTTTTTCGCGCCATCAAATGAACTTTTTTGAGTTCATGAGGAACCTGAATTTCGAGCTTGCTTACGTATCTCAGTTTAACACTTTTTTACCTGATCCTCAATTTCCCTGCAATCTCACGTGTCGTGTAAATTGAGTTTGACTGGTTCAATATCTCTTATCTTTTCATCATCAATCCGGGTAGGTATTTTTGATCGAGAAGCATCGTTCAAATCAAAATCACCAGCTCAGAATTTATCGAAGCGTTTTCAGTATTGACGTCCTTGTTGAGCATCGTCACCTTAAACTTAACGCAATTTTTCACAAGCTTGACGCGCGTTGTGTCATTTACGGAAGAGAAATAGTAAAATAGTAGAAAGAACACTTTGATCTTTTATGTTCAACGTGCTGATAAATCTACAAAACTCAACGAAATATCTCAATTTGTTCTTTACTATTTTTTTTATTTATTTACTATTTACTTTTTTTGATGAAAATGAAATAAGTTTTTCTTATAATGAATACATATTTTATTGAATTATTTAATGCACTGCTCTTTTTTTTTTTTTTTTTTTTGCTTTCTAAAAACTGATTCAGGTGATTTTTGACTTACACATTTAAAGTAACGGTTTTACAGAGTAAACAATTTTTTGAGAAAGGAACAAATATTGTAGACAACTCATTTCTCTTCTCGAGTTATGATACACTTCAAAACTTTATTATCTTCTTGACGTTTAAGAAGCAAATCACTGTCTAGAGCGTAACGTCATAAATTTCTTTCTGTAAGAATATGAGGAATCTACATGTCGAGCTCTGAATTTAATTCTAGATTCCATGATGCCGGATTATGTTGNGACAATCCACTTCTTATCAATAGTTATCATTCGTTTAAAAAAAGGGTAATTTTCTTCACGTTTCATGAGCATATCTCAGTTGTTTTTTCGCGCCATCAAATGAACTTTTTTGAGTTCATGAGGAACCTGAATTTCGAGCTTGCTTACGTATCTCAGTTTAACACTTTTTTACCTGATCCTCAATTTCCCTGCAATCTCACGTGTCGTGTAAATTGAGTTTGACTGGTTCAATATCTCTTATCTTTTCATCATCAATCCGGGTAGGTATTTTTGATCGAGAAGCATCGTTCAAATCAAAATCACCAGCTCAGAATTTATTGAAACGTTTTCAGTATTGACGTCCTTGTTGAGCATTGTCACTGTAAACTTAACGCAATTTTTCACAAGCTTGACGCACGTTGTGTCATTTACGGAGGAGAAATAGTAAAATAGTACAAAAAACACTTTGATCTTTTGTGTTCAACGTGCTAACAAATCTACAAAACTCAACGAAATATCTCAGTTTGTTCTTTACTATTTTTTATTTATTTATTTATTATTTACTTTTTTTATGAAAATAAAAAGAATTTTTCTTATAGTGAATACATATTTTATTGAATTATTTAATGCACTGTTCTTTTTTGTTGTTGCTTTTAAAGCACTAATTCAGGCGATTTTAGACTTTCACATTTAAAGTAAAGGTTTTACAGTTTAAAATTTTTTTCAGGAAAAGGAACAAATATTGTCGACAACTCATTTCTCTTCTCGAGTTAAGATACGCTTCAAAAATTGATAATTTTTTTGACGTTTGAGAAGCGAATCGCTGTCGTGAATGTGACGTCATAAATTTCTTTCCGTAAGAATATGAGGAATCTACATGTCGAGCTCTGAATTTAATTCTAGATTCCATGATGCCGGATTACGTTGTAGAGAAACTAAGCACTGAAGATCAAATATATAAATTAATTCGTATTACTGTAGGCATTCATCCCACCGACAACTTTCCCACACTTCTGTCATACCTATAGTTGTTATTAAGCGAAGACTTATGCATGTGTAATAAGCGAACTACGTTACATAGAGTAATTATATGTTATCGCATTAAATATTTTATTTTTATTACATTCGGTAGCCATAAAAGTCATACCTTATTGCTGATTATCCAGTCATATTCTTATTAAAATCACGTGCGTTCTTCTACACATAAAATGTAAACCTTGACTCATCTGTTTTTATTTTTTGTCTTACGAATTGTGATAAAAATTTCAAGTTACAGAATTATCAGTAAATGCTCACCAGTGCTGATGAAGGTGCCCTCTATTCACGGAATGAGTTGAAACGCAATTTATACTAGTTAATAATTTTTCCAAAATTGATCAACTTTTTTCAACATGAAACATTTGAAAATATGAAATGATATTTTTTTAAAATTTGTGCTCACCAATTATGTTGAAACTTACTTTTGGAGATGGCACAATACTGAAGGTGTTCATTATACGATCTGGATATTCTTCTCTAATTTTAGATATCATGAGGGTGCCCATGCCTGAACCAGTTCCCCCTCCAAGAGAATGTGTCATCTGAAATCCTTGCAAGCAATCACATCCTTCAGCTTCTTTTCGGACGACATCCAAAACTGAATCCACTAGTTCTGCTCCTTCAGTGTAATGGCCTTTAGCCCAATTATTACCAGCTCCGCTTTGTCCTGAAATTGTTATTTTTATTTATTTCTTTATTTTTTTAAATCCATTTTCAAAGTAAACCTCAAAAACTAGTAGAAAATATTTTTTTCATGTAAAACTTAATACAATTAAAACTAGTGGAAACTAACAACTATATAATTGTTTTGTAGTTTAAAATTAAACACGTGAAGTTTTAAATTTAAACAGTGCAATTTTGGAAAAATCGGTTCAACTTTGAACCATTACATTGACATCTTAACTCATAATGACATGCAAAGTTTCTACAACATGTTAAATTGAACAGTGTTTTTCTTCTCTTAACCAGTTAATTTCGATCAAGTTGTAAAATCAATTTCTAGAAATAAACATTTTAAGTACATTGTAGCACCATATTGAGGATGCAGTGAATTCAATCTATATTATGGTTCAACATGCTATGATCAACATTTTCCTGCATTGTAGTAACTTACTAGCATTTTTACTTATACAGAGAAGTTGCAACCATATCAATAGTTTAGTTAATGAAATCATACCAAAAACAAAATTATCTGGTCTAAAAAGTTGACCGAAAGGTCCAGATCTCACTGAGTCCATTGTTCCAGGTTCCAAGTCGACCAAAATAGCTCTGGGAACATATTTTCCACCTATAAAGGATACAAAATAAATAAATAACCAGTAACTGTGATCTCCAACTTGCTTTATATTTAAATAAAAAAAAGGGAAAATGTATGTAAAATAAAACAATTTAAAGCGCAGAAATACTGTATCATAAATTATAGTTATATAAAAGTTTTCTTTATTTATATGCAAATTGATTTACCCACTCACTGATTTGTACTGTTTTTTATTTATTTTAATTTTTTAAATTTTATTGATTGCGCCTGTGAAATGGGTATGTATAGTTTTTTCTTCATTATCCGGCTTATTATGTTTTTAGTCAAACGAAAATCAATTCCCACACAATATGACAACTATGTATTTTTAACTATGTTTAGGTAGAGCCCCTGAATTAGACAGGCCGACTTATCATCTATTTTTGGAGCAAAGAGCTAACATAAGCACAATACTAACATAACGTTAACTTGCGAACTTGTTTGCTCCAATAGAGCTTGATAGCTCAGCTCTGATAGTATAGGAGCCTTATGTTTAGGTATTAACGAGGAAAAAAATAATAATTCCGTTGCCAAAAGAAATATTGTCTACTCATACTTCTCTTTTTCTCAGATTTCGTTTTTAGGGTTGTTGAAAATCAAACAGTTATTGAAATTTATCGTAGAACATTAAGAATACAAGGTAATATTTTCAATGAAATGTAAATGTGTTGAAAAAAAAATAGCTATTTATGTTAAAATCATTTAAATAGTGATTTAAATTAAAATTTGTTAAAAAAATAAAATGGCTAAACAGACGCTATTTCATACTGATAAATTTGTTTTTATGATGTTTCACTGAATTATCCCCTAACAAATTTTTTCCCATTGTGAACTGATCGTAAAGATAATAATCTCAGCAGAACTGATTCAAGTAGAGCACCAAAGTCAAACACCGTTGGTTGTTGCAGTCAGTAAGGGAATGGGTAACTATTTTGATCAGCCTGCATAGGGACCGAAGGTGCACGGTACTGATCCTCGTTGAACTGTTCTACATTGAAGAGCTTGATTTCGCGCGCAGGTTGTATGGCTACCAAATCGAAGGAGCTATTTCCTTTGTAGAGAATCGAAACTGTGATGGCATAGATATTTCCTAGGCCGTCACGAATTTTTAATTTAACATAATCTTAATACAAGGGAATTCAAATTTATTCAATTTGAATAAACCTGAATTTTTTGGAACCGTTAAAAATATTTAATTCTGAATTCTTCAAGAAATCGTAGAAAAAGGTTCATTTATAAAAATTTTAGCTACAATTTAAACGGGTTGACAATGTAGTAATAATCAGAATTCAGAATGTAATAGCAGGCATTATGTTCCAAATGGGAGCTTAAGAAAAAAAAAAGGACATTTAACATAAACTTTAAAAGTAGCGTTTTTCACCTGTTGCTTCGTTGTAATACACGTTAATTCTCTCTAACTGCAAATCAGAATCTCCATGATATGTTCCAGTTGGATCAATTCCATGTTCATCTGATATAACTTCCCAGAACTATGAACAAAGAAAATAAAATAAAAAATATTCAAATATTTCACCGTTAGACATTTGAAGCATATCGATGCATACTGTAACATTCAATCAGTTGTTTTTAGCCAGAAGAAATAAGTACCTAGGTACTGTTGAGCTCAACAGTTAATAAATTCAAGATTTTTTCATCTCTCACTCGATAATATAAGTTATTAACTACAACTTTAACATCTTTTACTGTCTATGATTCTAGTTTAGATTTAGATAGAATGTAGCTTAAGTGCTTTACTTGCTAAAGAAATAGATTAGAAAAAATTCAATAATTTTGTGGTGCATTTTTTTTAAGGAAGCATGGCATTTTCCCTTCATATTAGTAAATATCGTTTGCTTAAAAGGAAATGTATAATAATTGGGTATAATATAAAAAAAACACAACTACTTCCACTTATTAGGAATAACATTTACCATGACGCAATGCTAAATTCTATGCCACTATCCACATAAATGCCACTATCCACATAAATCAATTATTAATCAAAAATCGAATATCAATTACTTTTCTTTATAATGCAATAAAACCTGGCGAGCAGCTATTTAAACGATCAAACACTTTGTTTGTTTATTTGTGGCTTGAAGTTAGGCTCGCAGAAAATGCCGTTCATGGGTTAAATTTAGTAGGAATAACACAACCTGTGACGTAGGCTATAGTATACCCAATTGTCATAAACTTAAAGTATTAATTTAACTAGTTGCATACACTAAAAAAAAAATGTTTTCTAAGAGTCTGCATTCGAATGTGCGCTAAATAAACTTCTAGTAGTAATAAGGGGAAAAATGTCAGCATGTCCCCCCNCCCCCCCCCCCGCCGAAGAAGAGAATTAGTATGTTCTTTTTTTTGAGATCTTTATCGTTTGCGAGATGTTCTTCACCAATTAATATCGTTAGTTTCAGGAATGTGTGTGAATAAGTGCTCAAGTAATTTCACTGATCGTTTGGCACTAGGTGAAATATCTGTTATATGATTTTCCTTCATCTAATTAAGAAAACAATGACAGGCGTCAGTGAAATTCACTAGGTGCCAATTGATTTACCGAAGCATAAGATAGTTTTGAGTTGAAAACAGTTTGCAAACCATAATGAATTCAAACAAGAAATGACATTCTCGCTCGTATTTTTGTCGACTGAAAGAAAAAATAAATAAGAAAAAAAACAGAAATTGAGATACAAATATCGTACCCACGTTACAAACGCCTTCCAGTTTGGCTTCTGCATTGAAATTAGAAAGTAAAATTTTGAGACCTTATTATATAATTAAAGTCAGGCGTAGAAATTCTTACTTTCATTAAATTATGTCAAAACTTTCGTTGCTTTTCTGAATAAACCTAGTAGTTAATTACGATCAACGAGAAGTAAGAAAGGTTTTTAAATTGATTTTAATTACATTTACATAATGAAAAAAGTTATTTTTAAGAGTATATCATGGAACATATTTCTTAAAAATCTTTTTATCGTAGATTTTATTACCCATGTTAAAATTTAAAACTGAAAAAACTGGTCATTTTTATCAGAAATTTAATTTTTAGACGAATAAATACTTCATCAAATATATAATGTATGAAGGGTTAAGGCCAATCAAAACAAGCAACGGTTAATATTCCTTTTTTAACTATTTAAATAAAATCGTTTGGTGGAACACTTTGATGGTATTTCAGCTACCAATGAAAAATATTGAAACTATATGACGTATGAGAATTTACATATGATATGATTAAGAAAATAACAATATTTACCAGTAAAATATTTATTTATCCCTCATTTAAAGGTGTTTTCCCAGCAATATTTATTTATCATTCTTCTTAAAAATATTATTCTCTGTTATTACGTGTTTGATTCGGATTATCATTCAGAATCAAATGTTTAAAACTATACGTTTAATTCATTTATAATGTTTTAAAGTCATAGCATATTATTACATTATTATGCAACATTTTATGATGAAGACATTTATTTACCATTTCATCGTTATAGAACGACAAATAAGTTATCTTTCCTTTTTAATCTGTTATATTTACTTTTAAAATGTTAACTTATATGTTACATAAGTTATGTCACTCATTTTTAACTTGTAGAAAAAATTTATGGATAATGTTGTAATGGTAATAGAGCAAAACGGTTTTGTTTAAATTTGATCTCAATAGAACTTAATCGATGGAACAAAATATCAGTTAATGCAGTGAAAAATTTTGCGATCTTTTAATGGAATGAATTTTTATTTGATGTAACAGTCTGCTTGAAGAACCAATAATTATTGTGGTACAATCGTGGTGGTTAGTAAATGAATTGAGGACAAGTGGCGTAACTCCCTAGTGTTTGATAAATGAAAGCGAAAGTCCTTTAAAAAGTATAATAAGTAAGAAAAATAAGTATAATAAGAATTGTGAGTGCAAATACCTATCATGTTTGAAGTATCTTGTAGAGTTTAATATTATCATAAAAATTTTTCATTTTCTGAGGAATTTTTTTTTTTTTTGTCACTTAACGTCTGATTTATTCAGTTAAATAAAAAGAGTCAAGATGGATTTTTGTCAGGCTAAATTATTGGTTATTCTATATAGAATATGAGAAATTTATTCACTTTCTTTACGAAATTCGTTTATTCTTAATATGTTACAAATATTTATAACTTTGATGCCACAAAAGTTTGGTCCTTAAAATAAAGAATAGACTGATGGTAATATATGTGGTAATTGAAAAAGTTTAAGCTCGATTTGAAACCAAATGCAATTCAATGCATTTTCCCTTAAATTAGAAATAAATAATATTATATATTCTATGGGAGCTATATATTCTATGTGACTAAATAATGCATTTCTTGAATGTAGAAATTCAATTCAAATTTTTATTATTTATGTTCTAGAAAAATGTTAGAGCATTGTTCAATTAGCTGGTCGAAATTATTCGCCAACTAAAATGAAAAATTGTTCTTAGCGAATGGGCGGAAACAGTATATTTCATGGCTAACAATTAAATGTACATCGATGGTTAAAACAAGAATATTACAGTTGAACTATTGAAAATTTATTGATAACATATATTAAAACTTTTATTCAATAACCAACTACATCTTGCCAATTTTAATCATAAAAAGTATGGTTTTTCTTAAAGTAACACTAGTCATACAATTCCTATAGCGAAAATAGTTGAAATAGCAAAATAGTTTCACTAGAAATACGAGAAATCGATACTCTTCCGTTAGCGTTTCGTTATTGATTTAATTATTATTTTTTGAACACGAAACAAAATAACCCTCATATGAAAAAAAACTAGTTGAATAATTTACTCGCGCCGACGAACGGAGAAGTACCGGTAAAGCTTGGCCACAAATAGTTTACTTTATAGAAGTCAACAAAATCAGTTGTGAAAAACTATTTTTTAGTAATAATACCATTTAGTTCAAAGATTCATTTTCGGCATGATTTCGGCAACGACATGTTATACCAAAAGAGCCAGTTATCGTATTTCTTATATTTTTAAGCGAAACATCTTAATTCTGAAATTTTGTTTGTGTATTTTCCCACTAAGATGAAAATATATTTAAGACAAACTAAAAGATAATACTGCTCCAATATTATTTAATATCAGGAAACTTTTACCATAAATGAATGAAGGAGGAAAAACTGTCTTTATTGAAACTAAGTACTGGGTAACTAAAACTGCCAGCATTGAAACTAAGCCAAAACTGCGTCAAATAGTGGCATTATTGAAATTAAGTACTCGATGATTGTGAACTAATAATAATTGATTTTTTTTAAATAAAATTTGAATTAAAAAATTTCCACGGATGAATTTCGGCTAGAGTGAGTAACATTTTTTAAAAAATAACTTCTTTCAAAATTGCTTGGTAATTGAACCACTACGAAAGTTAAATGAATAAAAATATTCTTACTTTTGCTCCGATTTGATTCCCACATTGGCCAGCTTGAATGTGGACAATTTCTCTCATTTCTAATTCAAAAAAAGACGCCGTTATCTTAAAATAGTAAAAATTCCCCTTTTACAGAAATTGGAACCATATCTTAAATCAGGATAGCTTTTTTTTTTATGGATATTCTTTAAAAAAAATAAGCTGCACGAGCGCTTCTAAACTAAATGCATTTTAAGTACAAATTCCTTTTCTATTTTAATTTTTATTTAGGAACTACATTTTAAAAGTTAAATTAAGCATAAAATATTATCTATAAGAACATTATTTCCACGAGTACAGAGTATCTTTTTTTTAAAAAAAAAACACGTGGTATTTTTTTCCACTAATTGAATTAATTGAATTTAGTAATTTTTTTAAAAATAATTCTCAATAATTTTAAATTAATGGTCTTAAATATTACAATAAGCTTTTTAAAAGGCACAGATTGTGTACACTCACTACATAAAGCATTCCTGTATCTAAACGCTTAGATGCAGGAAATAGATCTGTATAATTGTGAAATAAAGTCAGTCGATCACATATCTTCCACGACAGATCAGGAAAGGAAGAAAAAGAAAGGTACTCCTTTTAAAAATAACATTTCAGGTTAATTTACTTATATTAAGATGCAATATTCAAGGTTCGAGGAAACGTTTTAGGATTGACTTATATGCCTTAAAATTGCAATATTCGTGGTTCGATGGAACATCTTGAGATATATTAGAGTTTCTTTATCTAACTTTGGTTATATGTAACAAATTTAGTAGGAACAAAGATATGTTAGTTAATTGCTATTTATTAAATCGTAATTTTATTCATTAAAAAAAAAATTCCGCATCCGGCTTGCACTAACCACAGTGCTAACGTAAATATCCTCAGTGGTAGACGGATCGTGGGTTAGAGTCCCCTCGCCGTTAGGCTAACCATGGGAGTATTTCGTGGTTTTACTCTCCGTGTAACGCAAAGGCGGGTTAGTTCCATTAAAAAGTCCTCCGTGAAGGCAAATTTCTCCCAATACTCTATCCAGGAGTTCCCTTGTCTTCTGGATTGGGTTCAAAATTACAAGGCTACGGAGTTGAACATTAGTAGTCGTAAACCCATAAAATTGGGTCGGCTGTTCAACGACGGTCATAAAATGAAATAAAATTACAAAAATATAATTAGCATATAAACAATTTTTTATGAAATTATCTTTAGATTACTGATTTGTTGAGTGATTAGAAAGCAATTTTTGCTGGGAATAGATTAAAGAGATGTTAAAAAAGATCTGCTTTTGCTTTTTTGTAAAACTTTAAATGTGTTTTATGAATCATTGTTTTTTTTCCTTCTGTTTTAAAGTTGTAGTCGAACTCTTGTGCTAAAGTAGTCGAAACGAGTAAAAAAATAAAATAAAATAAAAGAATTGATTAATTATGTAGCTTAGAAAAGAAAACTTTCATGGCTATTGCTAATCATCTTTAACAAAAAGTAATTACTAGTGAAAGTAACAATATTTAACTTATTTCACTATAAAAAAGGATTGCTTTGGATAGAAAATAATCTGCAATATGCTATAACGTTAATGATTTTCATTTAATGTCAGTTAGATAAAAAAGAGAGAGATAATTGTAGTTAGATCTATAGAAAAAAATAGATGTTTAAAATACACATAGAAAGATGCAAAATAAAAAAAATAAAACAATGTAGAAAATATAACATCATATACAAACATTTCTAGAACAAAGCAAACAATGTTTTCGTTTTTATTCTAATTAGTCTTACCATGAACGATACACAATTTTTCTCGTATCTTATTTCAAAAACATTTTTTGGTATTTTCTCCGTATTTTTTTATTAGATTAGATGCTATTTTATTATTAAAAAATCTATACTTTTTGAAAAATGTCGGCTTGCTGTTAATACTTTTTATCATGTATATATAAATTTTGCCTTCTTGAAATTTCTTTTACTTTTTCGAATTTGTTTATTTATTTAAACTAAAAAGAGGAGCTTTGTTGCAAAAAATCCTTATGCTTAAAATAAAGCTTTCAAAAGAATTTATTATATCTAGTAGTCTCAAGATACTTAACAAATTTCCTTTATTGACAAAGATTATTTCTTCCATCTATGCGTGGGGTTTATTTTAAAGAAGACATAAATGTTTCTGAATTATTATTGTATTTTTACATTAAAAATGCCTCTATTCTTAATGTAAAAGTGTAATATTTCGATTTACTTTTAAATTAATCTCAATGTAAAATGGTATCATGTTAATATATTAATATATTACCATATTTATATATCAGATTATTTCTGCATTTGAAGTATCCAGGATTCACAAGATTTTAAAAATACAGGCATGTTATGAGTAGCCATTACGGAACACTCAGCATAAATAAGAGCAGGTATTTATGCAGTTTTTAAATGATGGAGAAAGATAATTAAATTTATTTTATTTTTTTATGGAGCGATTCTTGTTTATTTTACTTCTACCGGAAGTACTTTTTATATTGACAGCTATTCATTATTATTATTCTTCCAAACTTATTTCAATATTTTTTACGTGTCAGTTGATTTAATTTGTTTAATTGATTATTTATATTTTTAATTACACATAGCATTAAGGAGAGGGCCAAAATCTTATTCACAATACAGCGCCTTTAACGTTTCTGTTTCATTTTCGGAGATTTTCCTCTTGGTTGTCGTTAGTCCAATTTTATTACAAGCTTTTATTTCTTTTTAAATTTGTTACTTAAACTAAAAAAATGTCAAGAATCAAATTTTTTTCCTACTTTATTTTTACCGTTAAACAGGGGAGTGGTTCGTTAAAGACCCCTGGATTGGAAAATCCCTTCCCGAACTTCAAGCTGCAAGTTTACTGCATCAACTACAGGCAATCTCCATTTTATGAGTCCCGCAGTGGACTGATCGTAAAGACACGGTTCCAGGTAGAACATCGAAGCCAAGCATCACTACATCAGTAAGCGGGTGGATGACCACTCTGATCAGCCTGAGTAGGAACCGAAGGTGCGAGGTATCGGTCCTCGTGAAAATGTTCTACCGTAAAGTGTTCGACTACACGCCCAGTCGTCGGGCTGCCAGAGCAGGGGAGGCCTCCCTCTGCAAAGGATAAAAATTGCGATGGCATGTCTTCGGATCATCCTCAGGGATGTTTCCCAGACCGTCGCCAATAGCCCTCTGTACCGTTCTAGTGCGACGTAAATAAAGTACTTACTTACTTACCTACCATTTTATGAATGTTTACGATATGGAATGCTTCATTTTTGCCTATAGAATGTGAAGGAGGGTGGAGTGTTAAAGAGTTCAGATAAGGGAGAGGGCCAGAGCATCGGTAATCCGACAATCCGATTGTATGGGCTGACTCTTTTCGACTGGTCGCTGAATGTATTATTAGATATTTAAGTTCTAAAACATTGATGTTATGGATGTTTTGCACTAAAACCAAATATTTATAATTTAAAATCCTTAGTTCATAGAATATTTAGATTTGTCTTATCAAAGGGGAAAAAATTAGAGTTATAAAGCGAAGTGTATATTATTTAAAAACTTTATTTTGAAGACATTTTGTGACTGAACTAGCAAAGGAAGTGTGCCTCTGTGAAATATGCACTGAAACGAAATTAAACTTAAATTAATGAGCTGGGTTGAAAACCTTGAATAGGGTAAAACTTTGTCACTATTACTGCTCCTGGGGTAAGACATGCCCATTTAAAGTTTTATTTCATTTATTTATAAAATTAGAAAACATTTGTTTGTTCCCTTGGATTCTTGACGCAAAGGTTCAGTTGTGCACCTTCTACCAGAGAGATCAGGGGTTCGAATCCTGGCTGAGACGCATGATTTTTATTTCTAGATTTCTGATCTGACAATAATTATAATATCACTATTTAGTATGTTTTGTGAAACTTATTATTAACATAAATTTTTAATCAAATCAATTTTTTTACGAAATTTAACGTTTTAAAAATAAAAAAAATTTGATGAATTTTTTATTATTTTTATTTTTTGTTTAAAATACATAAATTTCTTTAGGAAATTTATTTGTAATTTTGTAATTTAATTTTTAAACATCTTTAACTGAATTTCTTTTATTTTGTTACAAATACTTTAAGTTCTAATTAGATTTAGATTTGAAAATATAAACGAAATTACTATATAATTCTTCTTAAAAAAGATAGAAAGAAAGGATAAATTAAAAATAACTGTACATTACTGAAAAAGATGATTAAGTCATTGAAAATACAAACTTTGTTGATACAAGAATCTACAAGAAATATAAACACTTATACATACGTGGTTATAAAATCAATGAAATTCTTTTTCACGAGTTTGGCATAAGTAAATAGCAAAGCAGATAAAAGCTGTTTCATTATTTGATATTTTAAATTAAATTTAATGTTTAATGTTTTGTTGAAAGTTAAATTCTATTTTCTTTAGATTAAATTTTGTTGGAGTTTAAATTATGCTTAATAATCTACGTATGGTGTATAATAATCTAAGGAGAAGAGAGAACCGCTTTAATGAAACTCTCCAACAATATCAACGGAGAACAGTCAGAAATGTCTCAGAAAGAGAGCGGCGTTCTAATGAAACAATAGAGAACGAAAACAACGGAGATTGACCAGGAATGCTAGCCAAATTATTTTCGCATTCATGGACAGATCTATCGCAGAGTTTTCCCGCTGTATTCAAATGGAAAGATCAAGGCTGAACAAGCGTTTTACGGGCCACGAGGCAAAATGTATTGCTGGGACCTTTCCTGCAAGCACAAAAACCCTTATTTTCGTAGTTTATAGAATTTTTGAAGACTCTTTTATGTATAAATGGAGTCTTTATGTGGATATAAAAATTTCTTTTCAAGGATTTTTTCTAAAAAAAAGGAAACTAATTAATAAACACTATATTTTTTGTAAGGAATTTGGGTTAGGCTCTCAGCAGTCTCTGTACCCAGGACAATCGTCCCTCATTGCCTCCAGCTCCTAATTATGACCTTAGGAAGGAGTAACTTGGCTATGGACGATTGTGTATTTTTGATGCTTCTGAAAAAATCCATAAAGTGTTTGCTACATCAAATCAATATTGAAATGTATATGCTATTTAGAATTTTGTTCAGAGAAATCAAATATATAGTTAGAATTTTGTTCAGTGAAACTAAATATGTACTTAGAATTTCGTACAGAGAAAACTTTTATGAACTATTTGTATTCTAAATTTAAGTTTTCCAAAAAGTATGCAAAGCTACTCGGAAATAACATATCCAATGAGCGAGCGAAGCAAGTTCCTCCTTCTAATTCTATGTTCATTGATACTGATCGAATGGTGAGTTCATTGACAGCACCAAATTCTATTCTAACTCTAAGCTATAAAATCAAGTAGTGATACAAACCGATTCTTACGTAAAAATAAAATCAAATAATAAAAGAAAAACAAACAAACAAATAAATTAAAATCAAGAAAATTACTATGATGCCGTGGAAACGGTGTTACCTTAATTTTATCAAACGTTTACAATATCGAACTCGTCGGGAAAGCTAGAAAAAATAGAATAAACAAGTTTAATGTCGGCTATGGTTTTAAAAATTCTCACCGAGCAAGATGATAAAATTCTTTAGTCATTTTGAGTTCTTATAAGGAAAGTATGTAACAAAAGAAACTATGACAAGTAATGAAATATTAAAAAGATTATTTATTATAAGAAACACGTATGTATAATAAAGGAATTCAGCTTTTAGTAAGCTGATTTTATTTAACATCAATATAAAGCAGTAACTCTTCTTAAATAACGTATTTATATCAAAAAAGCACATATTGAGGAAAAAGTATGATCATACTTTAAACTTAACTTTTTTTTTAAAGAAGAAAATTTGAAAATTGTAACAGATGCCAAACAATTTAAAAATAAAAAGAGTGAATTTTTTCTTTAAACTATGTCCCAAAAAATATGCATGAACCAGATGAGATTAATTAAACAAGACAAAAATAGTTCAGACAGCCTCTTCTTCTTCAAATTCTCCTTCTTCCTCTGCAGTAGCTTCTTGGTACTGTTGATATTCAGACACAAGATCGTTCATGTTAGATTCAGCCTCTGTAAACTCCATCTCATCCATGCCTTCACCAGTATACCAATGCAGGAAAGCTTTACGTCGAAACATAGCTGGAAGTAGAGTAAATTAGATGGTAATGTCTCACCTTATTTTACCCTCTTGAGAAGAGTTATGTATTAGCGTTTAGTGTCCTCTATGCAAGCGCAAAATTACCTAGTGACGTAGATTTTTAATTGTCGGCCTGAGACTATAGTCTGCTAATGCATAATAAACTAGTGTCATAGATTTTTTTTAAGACTCCGCGACTGTAGTCCGTTTTGAGTTTGCTCAATGGATGCAATACTTTAAGACATTACTGCGAATGCCCTCTCTGAACTAGCCCTATAAGCGACTCTTAGATTATAAACAACGCATGGACAAGCAACTAAACCAAGAGCAATTAAGTGTAAACTGAGTTAAAACGCGTTACTCTTTTATTATTATTTTAATTGTTATGCAGTTTAAGAACGACATTTTAAGAACAAATTCATTATATTTATTAAGATAATTTTAAGTTTATTATATATATTACAATATATTTATAGATGGTATTCTGTAATCAACACCCTTGATCATCTTTAGAAATTTTGACAAAATTAACATGAACAAGCTATTAACATTACGGTTCGTTGATAATTATTAAGTGAATTATTAAGGTTAATTATACAAATTAGTCTGAAACAAGCTATTAACTTAGGTACCCAGTTAACCGATTGTCCAGTTTATTAAGCCAATTACTACTGCAATGGGCATGATGACATTTTTCATGGAAATCACTTGAGGTGTGATGATATTATTTATAACTAGGAAGAAAAAATTCCCCAATGGGAAACGAGTTTATTCTCCGGTTAACTGGTTAAAAATATTAAACTATTTTTTTTATGTCGAATTAATGGAATTGCGTTTTTAGCAATCTATATTTTAATCATTTTCCCGCTTCATCCGAAAACAAATTGGTGTATCCAATTTTAATGCTACATATAAAAATGGTTATTATAATGCATCGTGTTAAGAAAAAAATGATGAATGGAGAAATTTCTTGTTAGGTGTTTTTGACGATAAAAATCATCCTAAAATAATCAAAGAAGCTGATTTTTTTCATAGACACTAGAAAGATTTTCTCAAGTGTTCGGATGCGAGTTTCTTTCTTTCTTTTTGTCTCTTCATAAAAAGTTTTTGAAAATAAATGGAGTTAGTTAACACTATATTCTTAAATTAAAATATGTTGATTACCGAAGATGATTTACTCTATAATAAATACACTGACATTTATATCTACCTTTTCCACTGACAAACATTGTAAAAAAAATTAAAAAGCCTTGTTCAGATTTTATTTAATTTATTTTGTTTGGATTTTATCTGTGTTACATAAAATTAGTTTAGCATATTTTTAGGCTTAAGCATTAAGAGATAAAATTGTTTTATTGTCATATATTTTCACCACTTAAGTGGTTACAATTGGTAAATATGTGTATTTAATTCCTATTTACAGCAAATTTCAAGATGATTCTTCATAAATTTAGAGTTAGGCTTGAAAATATTAAATTCAAATGAGAAGTTGCAAAAATTTATATATTTTAATGAGAGAAAAAAAAACTTAAACTTTATCGAAATGTTGCTAATTAAAAGTTAAGCCATAAAATAATTGTAGATTTTTTATGTTTAAAAATGTTAAATAGAATTAAAACAATAAATTGTGAGAAGTATGAAATAAACAATATTAGGTTCTTATCCATTCGTCGGTGTAGGCCATGGAGTCATCAATGAAAAAGCAGTAAATTCAACTGTTTTGTTTTAATTTTTAAAATTATTTATTTATTTATTTATTTAAATAAATAAATAAATAAATAAATTAATAAATAAATAAATAAAACAATTAAATTTACTTGTGCCGGCGAAATGAATAAGTAAGCAATCTTGTTATCTGCTTACCTGTGAATTGTTCTGAAACACGCTTGAACAATTCTTGAATAGCCGTATTATTTCCAATAAAGGTAGATGACATTTTCAGACCCCTTGGAGGTATGTCACAAACTGCAGTTTTTACATTATTTGGTATCCACTCAACAAAATAACTGCTGTTCTTGTTTTGAACATTCAACATCTGTTCATCCACCTCTTTCATGCTCATCCGACCCCTGAAAATAGCTGCTGCTGTCAAGTATCTTCCATGTCTTGGATCACAGGCAGCCATCATGTTCTTGGCATCGAACATTTGCTGAGTCAATTCTGGAACCGTCAAAGCTCTGTACTGCTGACTACCACGAGAAGTAAGAGGTGCAAATCCTGTTATGAAGAAATGCAAACGCGGAAATGGTACCATGTTCACGGCTAATTTACGCAAATCTGCATTAAGCTGCCCAGGAAATCGTAAGCATGTGGTCACTCCAGACATGGTGGCTGAAACTAAATGGTTAAGGTCTCCATAAGTAGGGGTGGTGAGTCTTAAGGTTCTGAAGCAAATGTCGTATAATGCTTCATTGTCAATGCAAAATGTTTCATCTGTGTTTTCTACTAGTTGATGTACAGAGAGGGTTGCATTATAAGGTTCGACTACAGTGTCTGAAACCTGAAAATGTATTGTAACGAGCACGTTAAAGATACAATATTAAATTGAGCATAAATTTGTAAAGTTCTTTTTTAACGCACGAAATGAATTTTTTTTTTTGTGTCTCTTAAATTTATATTCTAAATCAAAGGTAAGTTTTAAAAAATATGAACAAAGATACAAACAAATTAAATTGGGTCCCAATAAGACAAAGATAAGGAAAGCGGCGAGAAGAGTAATAGAGCTGAAATGTTGCTCTGCAGTTAACAAATTTTAAAAATGTTTTCAATTTGAATTTTTTTTGGGAATGCCATTTAATTAAGCGTGAGTTTATTTGCTAAAGTTTCAATAATCATTGAATACATTTTTTTCTGTGTCGAATTTTAATTACTTTTGGAAAAAGGGATTCAGTTATTTTTTACTGTATTCTCAGAATTTTGGGTTATGATCTTTTTCAAACGTTCTGCATTTTTAATCAAAATGACACATTGAAATTATGTTATTTTGTAACGAGTGCACGTAACTTGCAATGTTAGAAGTTAACAACTTAGATGTTATGGGATTAAGGGTAAAAAACTTCTTAGCAGTGAAGTTGAAATATTTATTAAACCAGTTTAATAGTTTTTTTATTATCACTTTTCAAGAAATGAAAAACCCAGGAACAAAAATTGATGATCCATCATATACCAGGTTTCGAAAAACCGCCCGTCCGGCCGCCCTCGGCGGTCAAAAATTCCCAGCGGACAACGAATTTCTCGAATCCGACGTCCGCGCGGACGGCTATTTTTCCGTTAATGTTCGTGATACATTTTCAATTTTTGTTATCTTACAATCTTTTTTGAAGGAGTAGATAAAGAAAATTTTTCTCAAGAATGAGTGTCATTTAAATTTAAGATACACAACATCGTTAAACACCAGAAAACTTCATTCCTCCGAGCCTAAGCTATTTATTAAACCTAATGCAGCAAAATGACCCACAATACAGCAACATACTGCGAATGGTGGAATTGATGTTTTCTCTGTCTGGGAGAACTGCAGAGGTTGAAAGGGGCTTTTCAGCAATGAACTTACAAAGAAACACATTATGTACTGGTCTTAAACAAGAAGCGTTAAACGCAATTATGAACATCTACCTAAATGGAAAACCTATTTCAGATTTCTGTGCAGAAACCTCTGTAAATCATTGACTTGATCGTGGAACTGTCAAACGTCATATTTGATTCATTTAAAAAACGCAGTACCCTCGGATAAATTGACATTCCAGATAACTTGACCTTTGTCATTCAAATTATTTCATAAAAGAAATAAATTATTTCATAAAATAAATAAATTATTTTATAAAAGAAATAAATTATTTCATAAAAGAAATAAATTATTTTATAGCAGAAATACTATGTTACTATTAGTAACCTAGTATTTCTTTTGTTACTGTATAATGTAATCCTAGTATTTGTAATCCTAGTATTTGTAATCCTAGTAACTACTAATTCATTGTGCAATTTATATAAATGTTTGTAATAAATAAGAGAAAATTACATTTTTATTTATTTAGAAGCTACGGGTTAGTTTCAAAGGAGGACGGGTACATTGTTGGACAAGCCGTCCTCGGGGACGGGTAAAATTTCTGAGTTGTTTCGAGGCCTGACATATACTTAAAAAACTTTACTCCGATACATTATCCAAAAAAGTTTCCGTACTACTTAACTAATATTTAAAGATTACAAATAACCAGTCACTTAGCAATATGTTTTTTTAATGCTTAATATGAAATCGTAAATATATTTTATGGAAATATTATTGTTTTTTTTCTTTATCTATAAACTACAAAAATGTGGGTTATCATTTTTACCCTCAAAATATCAAATTATGTTTCAACGAAGCAAACATTCACTGATTAAATGATACTTTTAAATTCTTTTTTACTTTATTAGTATACTTAGTTTATTTTGTTCATGCTTGTAAGGTATCAAGCTGATAAACAAAGTTTAGTAGAGGAAAAAAATGTTTAGTTATCTTTTACTACTCCAGAAAAATTTGATCGATGATATTTTATATAATATTATTCGGTGACATTTTATATAATACTTCGAAGATTATTATTACAGTATACTAACCAATTTCAAACTTGCAGTTTCTTTTCTTTATTTCAAAGAAAGTTAGATTATTTAAGTTAATATACTTTTTCGGTAGCTATTGTCCCGTTATGCTGGCTTGTTTCGATGAATTAATCTGACTTAGAAGATTACATATTTTATAAATATCCTTCGGCACTTTTCTCACCAACAATGTCAATTTGTCATCTAGAAGACACATGTGCCTGCATAATGTGTGATAAAATACATAAGTTAATATAAATGTATGTTGGTTCGTTCATATAATAGTTAATTTGTATTATTTTTAGCTTTTAGACCGGTAACTATTATATTACTTTGCTTCTTATCAAGCAAAGATAATAGGCAATCCTTATTTTATAGATAATAGGCATCTGCAATTCTGTGTAAAATTTTAATCTTAAAGGTCTATTTTTACTGGGTGCGATTTTTTCGCATTAGAAAGAAATCGCATGCGAATGAGGACCTGATTGGTGAGTTTTTCGCGGGTGAAATTATTTCATCAATCAGGTTCTTATTTGCAGGTAAATTTTTCGCAAGCAAATCTCATTAATCAGCAATTTTTTTATAGCTTACATAATAGTTGATTTTTATTGTATTAGACCTCCAACTATTGTATAATTTTGCTTCTCTAATAGCTTTTGTCCATTTATTATTTTTTTTTTATAAATAAGAGCCATCTGTGATTTTATATAGAATGTAAATCTTCAATCAGCTACTCTTTTTTTGATGAATTGCAAATAAGAACGAAAATGTCAGTTAATCCACAACGGCAGTGAAATAAATGTGCCTTCAATGTGTATAACGAACTGATCAAGGGATAATTTCTAGTATTTTATGACAATTATAAAGAATAAGCTATTCTCAATATTATATTCCTTAAAATTTTAAATTACAGTTCTAAAAAAAAATGTGCAGGTAGAATATGTTAAAACGTACTTTTGGAGATGGCACAATGCTGAAAGTGTTCATTATACGATCTGGATATTCTTCTCTAATTTTAGATATCATAAGGGTGCCCATGCCTGAACCAGTTCCCCCTCCAAGAGAATGTGTCATCTGAAATCCTTGCAAGCAATCACATCCTTCAGCTTCTTTTCGGACGACATCCAAAACTGAATCCACTAGTTCTGCTCCTTCAGTGTAATGGCCTTTAGCCCAATTATTACCAGCTCCGCTTTGTCCTAAAATAGTTTTGTATGCATTTTTAAGGCAAGACTAGGTGAAAAATATCCTCACAAATACAGCTTTGTCCAATTAAAACTAATAAAAAATTGCAGGTCTTAATAATAATTTAAATTAAAATTCTTGAATTTAAAGAATAATATATTTTAAGTTTAAATTAAACAGTAGAGTACTATTTTGTAAATTGTAGTTGTACCAATATAAGAGCTACAATGAGAAAAATCATACCAAAAACAAAATTATCCGGTCTAAAAAGTTGACCAAAAGGTCCAGATCTCACTGAATCCATTGTTCCAGGTTCTAAATCGACCAAAATAGCTCTCGGGACGTATTTTCCTCCTACGAAGAATAAAACATTATTTAATGTGACACCTTATATTTTAATAAGAAAAAAAGCGGGCATATGAAATAAAATTAACCGAAATTTGAGGTCATGGAATGTCATTCCATAGATTGTAGCAATATAAACTTTTATTATATTTATTTGCACGTTGATTTCCAAAATTACCGATTTATTGTTCTAATTTTTCGTCCACTGTTTTTTTTTATTTTCTCGCTGTATCATTAATCAATTATGGTAACAGTTGCCATTACGAATTTCTATTCATTAAAATGATGCCTATGCTTTTATGCGGCTTATCACTTAGGCCTATTGTTCTTAGATTAAAATGAATTAAAATAGATTAGCCGGCATATTCCTATATTAAAATGGAAATCATTCGCTCATTTGAAATTTATTTTTGGGTGTTATCAATATTATGCTGCATTTTAAGTGAAGAATAGCTAGCTAAAATTCTATAAATATTTAAAAAACTTATAATTTTAAAATTTTTTCCTCTTTCTTCTCTAATAAAAGCTGAAGAAGTGAAATTCTTTAGCGGAGTATTACATACATTGACTTCTTCAACAAGGTTATGCGAAATTAACGAAAATATTGCTCACAGTAACTGATCTTAGAGTAAATAGTGTAGTAAAAAAGGACTCCTTTGAATTTTTGGATTCAAATCACAACTCAGATTTGATTAAAATTTATATATAGATGCTATAAGCTGTATGTAATGTCTTTATACGTCAAAAATATGTCTTACTTGCAAGAATTTAGTTTGTTCTACGCAATATTTAGAGAATTCTTCTTCTATTACTTTTATATGGTAGATAAAAAAAGTTTTTTATTAAACAATTTACGATGTTTCATTACATATTATTTAATTTATAACAAACCCTGAAAATTTTACAAATTTGGAAATAGTTATAAAAATTCAAAACTTAAAATATAATTTTTTGAATAACAATTCAAAAAGGGATGAAACATAATAGTTCGAAAAAATAATACTTGTTTTTTAAAGTAAAATTTAATTTGGTTTTGGTACTTTTAACGAAATACAAAATATATAAAAGTTGAACTTCAAATTTAATCAATAAAATTTGAACTAAAGTCAGTAGGATTATTTTTAATTTCGCTTTCTTCAAGAATTCATAGAATGTTCATACTTTAAGGACTAAAAAGTGAATGATAAACAATCTAACAAGTATTTGAATGTAGAAAGTAGAAATAGAAGAGAAAAGCATTTAATTTCAAATAAAAACTAGAAAGGGAATAACGTTATACACTTTTAGTATTAAAGTATAAAAATTCAGTGTTCTTTTTCACCTGTTGCTTCGTTGTAATATACATTAATTCTCTCCAACTGCAAATCAGAATCTCCGTGATAAGTTCCAGTTGGATCGATTCCATGCTCATCCGATATAACTTCCCAGAACTATGAAATGGGAAAGTAAATAAAGAATATTCGAATATTTCACTGTTACATGTTTGAAGCTTATTGTTGAATACTGTAATGCTATTAAATTCAATCAGTTGTGTTCAGCCTGATGAAATAAGTATCCCAAAAGCTGATACATTTAGGATTTTTGCATTTTTCAATTGATTATATAAGTTATCAACAACAGCTTTAAAATTTTCTACTAATTATAATTATAGTTTAGTAGATCGAACGTAATATAAGTGTTATTGGCTACAGAATTAGAATATTTAGAATAAATACCATAATTGAGGTGCATTTCTTTTATGAAAGTAGCATTTTCCCTTCATATTAGTAAGTATTGTTTGTTTAAAAGGAAGTATGTAATAATTGTCGAGAACTTAAAGAAGGAATTTAATTAATTGTATACATCAAAAAAGTTTTTGAAGAGAGCACATGCGTTCTAAAATAACTTCTAAAGAGATTTTTTTTCATGCTTTCCTGCTGCTAAAGACTTGGATTAGTATTTTTTTCTTCCTTTCTTCTTCTTTTTATTTCTTTCATACTTTTTTTTTTAAAGATTTTTATCGTTTGCGAATTTTTCTCCACATATTTAGTTTCGGGAATAAATTAATAAGTGCTGAACTATGAAATAATAAAGAAAATAGTGATAATTTTCAAGTATAAAAATTTATTTTTTTGTTATTTATAGTTGAAACGTATTAGTGCATTGGAGCCTTTTTTTTTTACGAAAAAATAGTTACCGAAATTCTTTAGCTCTACAGACAAAATTTTATTTAAATTTTCTAACAATAACTATAAACATTTAGATAAAGCTTTTTTTTAGAAGAATGAATTTAAAATTAAGAGGCCTCTCTAACTGAGTAGTTTTAAGCAGTCCGTTTTGTAGTGTGAAACTGAGTAGAAACTGTTTTTGATATTTATATCAGCATGAGTTTAAAAATATTAAACAAGCCAATGAACAAGTTCTACAATCCATGCTATTGAATTCCGCAGATTTTCAATGTAGTGCTTATTATTTAAAGATTTTTACTAAATATATATTTGAGAATTTTCATTGCAATTCTAGACCATGATAAAAAACGACAACGTTTTGTTTCAGAACACTGAAAAGTGGTAATAATTTTTGATCAAATGCTTACAGCTACCCGCTTTGAAAAGTAACTTAATTGCTAGTTAAACTAAGAGTTTATCATTTTCGTTAACTGAATTTATGAAATTCTTTTAAATCTTTTGATTATACGTTTTATTTTAATTTTATAAAATTATTCGACGTGTTCTTTTATAAGAATGTCGACCGTTATAGAGAACAAAGTACATTTTTTAACATTTATAATAAATTACGATTTCATTTAAATATTCTAAGTTCAATCCTTTAAACTAATATCAAAATAACTATGGGAAAAATTATTGCTTTTAATTACTACATAAATAGTTTTCCCTGAAATATAAATTCAGTTTTCCTAATGTTCTCTGTCAGTCAGTTTATTTCAGTCATTTAAAATCTAAATTATTTTTTTATTTAATTTTTCTTTCAGATAATATAATTGACAGTATTTTAAATCCGTAACATCGATTTGTGAGTTTTAACCCATATATTTATCGACTAGATCATATCTAGATTTGCGTTAAGCGCTTGAATTAAACTATTGAAACTGATACATGGTTGCTATAATGTTTATAATGTTTTTTCTTCATTAAAAAAGTCATTATTATTATTACTCATAATTTCTTCACAGCAAGTATATTTTACATTTAAAAGCCAAAAAAACGTATAACAAATCCTTTAAACAAAGATCTAAGCAAAAATTTGTAAAGATTAATAGCCAAGGTAAGAATTCCTTTACTTACCTTGGCGAGAGAAAAACTAACACTGGGTCTGTCGCCAATACTTGATTTTATACAGGGAGGATGTGCACTGCTGGGGTACGTTCCCTTCTTTTCCGTTATGCAGAACTTATAAATTTTAAAAATGATTTTTGAATAAGAAATTTTTTTAATATAACAACTGAAGATCTGTATCGCTGTTTTAAGAAATAAAAGTATTATTCAAATTATTATCCTGTTTCATCATCTACAGTTTATTTTATTTTCTACGTATTTTATAAAGAACTTATTTTTATTTGACCATCGATGATTCCACCGACGCCCTTCTAAACTGTGATGAATGCATAATTAACTTTTCTACTATTCTTTTTTATTTAAATTTTGAATCAATCGAATTTCGTCTTTGATAAAACTAAAACTTCAATCAAAATCATTCGCTTCAAAAAATTCATCTGCAACAATCTGTGCAAGATTTTTTATTAAAACAAGAAAAAACAATGCAGTGTACTAACTGTTTTCTTTTAGTGTTCCAAGATAATTCTGCCAAGAGTAAAACGAAAAAGAATTTTGAATAAAAGAACGAAACATTTTAATGATGTTAAAATAGAACATTTTTAAGCATCATTCATTCATGATACACGTACTAGAAAAATGTGCACACTTTTTCGATTAGTCGAAAATAGTGCTAACTAAAAAGAATGACCACTCAAAATAAATGAAATATTAACGGTTAAGAACAGAATGTAAATCCATGGTTAACATTGAATTACTGAAAACTTATAACACACATCATGTACGAATATCAACATCTGGCTACGCTAAACATTTTAATCAGATTTTATTGTTTATTCAGAGTACCAATACAATCGCTTAGTTTATTTATAAACTGCGTAAATAAGTGCTAAAAGCATTGCAAATAATTGCTAAAAGCTATAACTGCTGAAGCTGCAATAAACTGCTAAATCAGCATGATGAACTTAAAAAGACTGAAAACCTTAATACCAAATAATTTTTTCTCTTTCAAGTCATGCAATTATCAGAATTGCGTATTTTATAGTAAATCTTATTAGTGAAAAGTTTCATTCATGGCTTGAATTCGCCAAAGACGTTATTTGACAATTGTGCCAATATTTGTGTTGCATGTGTTTTTATACATAACATCACATCTTCAAGCTGATAAATATTAGTGTACTTTCATTTCATGACAAAAATTATTGATTTACTTGGTAGAAAATTTTGTACAAGTACATAACTTTCGTTAAATAATGAATATTCGGTATTTATAAATATATGTTTGCATCATTAAATTTCTAATTTTTAATTTATGATCAAATCTTTATTTTCTTATTGATATTTATTTATTTTTTTTTAAAAGTAGAAACGGAAATGTAAATGTATTACAATCATTCTTACTTTTGCTCCGATTTGGTTTCCACATTGGCCAGCTTGAATGTGTACAATTTCTCTCATTTTTTACACAAACTGAGACACTGTTTTCTAAAAAATGTAGAAAACCTAAAGTCGTATAATAGTACTCACAACGCGTATAAATTAATATGAAAAACGACAAAAATAAAGTTCTATAGAAAAATTGGAACCAACATTTAACCAGGATAATCTTTTAATGGATTTTCCGTTGAAAATAAATCGCACGTGCTGTTTAAAACTGAGAAGCTGAATGTATTTTAAAAAAGATATATTTTTTTATTTTATTAATTCTGTTTCTGAAACAATTTTTAAAAGTTCTATTGAGCATAAAATATTAGATGCTCCGCATTATTTCCTAGAATACTTGATATTGCTTCCAGGAACACGTGACTTCTCCTACTCTTTGAAATCGTGATCCTTTTATTAATTTTTTTTCGAAACAAACATCAGTAATTTGAAATTAATGACATGAAACATTAAAAAAATGCATTTAAAAGATATTATAAGATATGTACAATATTTCCTGATTATTGTTAATTCAATTTTCTTTAATTAATTATAAAAAACACTGAATTCTCAAACGTGTTCTTATTTTCAATTTTTGTGTTTTCTAATCAAATTAGCCAGGTTAGTACTTTTTGCCTTAATTAAACAGTAAACAGGTAATAATTAGGTAATACTACCTATTCCCTAAGGGTCTTACGATTTTCTTGTAAAATATTTATTGTAAACAGAATGAGATGATTCTCCGGTGAAATTAAAATATTAACAAAGGAATCGCAATCTAGAAAAATAAAGTATTTCTTTCTTTATTCTAAAGTTTCACTTTCTATGCTGAATTGAGTGAGATCAAACACGATTTAAAAGAAATGAAAATTCAGAAGTTGAAAGGATTTTTACTTTTAACAGTACTTTTGGCAGTAACTTTAAACAGTACTGTTATTGTTTTGTACGCATCTCACATTGCTATTTTGACAAGCAAGGTATGTTTTCCTACATAGTTTTTAATGTTGAATTCAATGTGACCGCACGTGGAATCGATTGCATAAATATTTTGAAAGTTCTGTTTATACGAATTAATTTTAATAACAGTATCTTTAATACGAAAAAAAACAGTGCAAATTTTAAAATTTTATTCCTTTTGAATCATGCTTAGTTCAGTTCAGTGTGAAAATACATAGAAAACAAAACATCCTTTGTTTAGATAACAATGCCTGATGCGTAAATAAGTACAAGTACAAAATAGTACTTTTTGTATTAATATCTTTATAAATTTGAAATTATCAGACCTATTGACTTAGTATTGCTTTTATTTGATTCAGCACAAAAACTAAAACGGAAGCAATATCTCAGTAGCTTAAATAGTAGTATTTAAGTTTCTTCTTTCATTTACTCCCATTTACTTCCTCTTGTCAAAACACAACGCGAAAAATGTTGTAACTTTTTACCACTTACTAAGAGGAGTGTACTTATGAGTTTGCTACAAGTAAAATTTTTTTTTAATGTCCGAGATTCGGCAATCTTTGTTGCTCGATGCAGAAATATCACTTACAACTTTTTCTTCCGACATAATAATTGGAGTTGCATAATTGCGGTATTTTCGTACACAGGGGACCATTTTAGGATTAACTAACTAATTAATTAATAGCAGTTAATTAAAATTTCATGCTATACACTGAAATGCATACTATTTCTGCATAAACAGTAGAAAAATGGAAGGTAGTTGGCATTTGTTAAGCATAGATCAATAATGTTCTATGAGTGGCGGTCAAAAATTCCAAATGTTTATACTGTTTTTGTTTATTGTTTTTTTTGTTTTCATCTTTGAAAGTTTATTCGAAAATTAAAAAAAAATCAGTTCTTTAACTCTAAAACTTTATTCTAAAATTTGAAAAAAGCAAAAAAAAAAACAACCTGTATAGCAGTTTTTAAACTTATGAGCCTTGGCATGCAATAATTAAACTCTCATAATTAAACTTCTGCAAAAGATGGTTCGTGAATTTTTACATTTTAGTGTTGTTGTTGTTTCCAAGATCATTTACCGATAACAGCAAGTTCGCTTTGTGAATCCAAGCGAATTTAAGCTTTCTTGCTTTTCTTGCGTTTCTTGCTTTTCAATGGTTCCATCTGTGGCCAAGAATATGACTTCAGTTGCACACACGTCACAGCCCTTTTATAGAGAAGGACCCATCCATATATCTATGGATTCATTCACAGATCGTAGTTTTGACCTGAAGTAGAGAACGATCAATCTTCAATTCAGTACCTCCAGACGTCTTTGTTATGGGAGCATGGAGTACTTTGTGATCTGACTGATTTAACGTGCACCAGTCACTATTTACTTCATGGAGAGCCTTCGGCCGGTGAGGATCGAATTCACGACCTCTTGAACATGGGACCAACCAGGCTATCCTGTTCACAGTTATTATGTTTTCAATGTTATTGTTTTGTTTAATAATTTTAATGTTAATTGTCCCTTTCGTTAAATAAAACAAAAACACTTAATGTTTTTCAAGGAACCTAATTTCTAAAAGAATAATTTAAATCACCTTCTTTATAAGATTTTTATTACAAAATATTATATTCAAACGGCAAAACATGGTTGATTTGGGTCAATTCTGAGTATTAATAGAACGCGTGAGTTACAGAGAGCAGTTCGGCATGAACTATTTCTGAGTGTTGGAAAATTCAATAAACAGGATTATTTAACAATATTAAGTCCAAAAAATGTTTAGTCCTTTTTCCACCAATATATAAAATATTCATATATGGATTTTTAAAGAAACATTATTGGTGGTAGAATCGTGTCAATGCAAACTCAATTCCTTTATTTAAGAGCTTCTTATAAAAATATCTAATATATTTTTAAAGGAAAGTGTGCCTTGCATTCAGGAAGTCAATTTTTTAAATATAGCAAGTCAATTTTTTCTTTTTAGCTAAAAGCTTTGCATTTTAGTTCTTCGAAAGAAAAGAACTTTCAATAAAAAGTCAACACCAAGAGAAAGTATTTTAAAGTGCAAGTATTTCCACTTAATTTAGCATCGAATAGAATATTAAAATTTGAACTTTCTTCGATCGAAAAGAGTGTGTGACTGATATAAGTCTAGGTAAAAAGTTCTTTGGTCAAAATGATAGAAGAAACAATTGTTTTTTTAATTTTACAGCGTTTCCTTACTAATTCAATTTTATTTTTTCTGATAATTACAATAAAATAATGACACAATATGCACTGTTAATAATTTCTCGGGAAAAATGGTTAAATAGCAATTTATTTAATTGTTATTTTACTATTTTAAACGAAAACAGTCAAATAACCATAAAAAAAATGATACTGTTTCGAGTGAAAAAAAAACATTTATTGATTGTTCTTTTACTTAATACTATTTTAAAAAACAGAATTCTATCTGCGTCAACTAGGCCCACCTTATGAAGTTATTTAAACCCATGCATCGTAGCTGAGAGGGGTAATTGGTCATTCTCATCTTTCCAGTGTTGACGCCACTATATTCCTTCAATACATCAAGAGTTTCCAGCAACCTGCACTATACAATTGGTGACCCTGGAATATTAGAATATGAAACTATCATCCTCACATAAATGGCGCTGCACCCACAGAGCTTCAATATCCGTTTAGGTTTCATTTTTAAGATTACCATATTAGATCGAGACAGTCAAATAATCATGAAAAAGATGATATTCAAATTGTTAAGTGTGAGAAAAAACCTTTTATGATTGTTTTTACTAAATATGGTTTAATAACCAGAATTCTATCCAAGCCAACTAGGTCCGCCTTATGAGCATATTGTTCTGCGCTGGGTACTTAAAATTGCTGAGAGGCCTAAAAAGTCAATCTCATGACTGGCGAATCAGGGATTCCAATCCCACCGTTGACACCAAAATGTTTCTTCCGTTCCCTCAGTACATGAAGAGTTTAGAATGCGAAACTATGATTCAAGTATAAATGGCGCAGCACTCACAGAGCTCTAATGTCCGTTTAAGTTTTATTTTTACGGTTAAGAAGCTATGCTAATTTTAAAAGGTTGCAAAATCTTTTAAAATTAGCATAGCTTCTAAACCATAAAGTTTCGTATTTACGGTTTTTTAACCGTACCAGTAGTAAATGGTTTCAAACCCATTAAGGTAAAAAATGCTCCTGACCATAAACCTTATAGCTAATCTGATGAACAGACTGCTACCGGTCATTTAACCCTAATTTCAGAATGAAATCTCGAACACTGCATTTAAAAACACCGTACCAAAGAGAACGCTAAAATTTGTTTTTTAAAAAATGTTTGATTCTTGAAAATATGTAAAATATACCCAATATATTAAGTGAAAAAAATCATTCAAAAATTGAGAGGTGGTATTAAATAAATTCAGTAATTCCATTTAATAAATAAAATCCTGGGCTGAACTATTTTTTAAAAATAATTTCAATTTTTAACAACTTTGTTCTCGATAAGCACTTCGGAGAAATGTTTTTAGATATGCTTTCAAATTATGTGTAAACGCCGGAAAACGAAGAAAATGGTAGGATTTCTTAAAATTTTATTTATAAAATTTAGCACAAAGAATTTTATTTGAAAAAAAATTGTATTTCAAGCATATAATTTTGAAATCATTAAATGCAACATTTGTTTTAGATCTACATTCGATCTACATGCAACATCTGTATTATTTAGAAATAACTTTGATGCTACAAAGAATTTTTCATTTTATAACTCTGGATGACGTTTTACAGTTTAAGCTATGCTTTATTCATGTATATGTCTTTTCTCCACATAATAAATACCACTTCGTTCTTGTCTCTAAAGCTATTCACTATTACTACATATTTAAAAAAATACTGTTCTGTAAAGGGTAGTTTTAATTTTGTGTGTTTAAACAAATTTATTAATATCTAAAATTTTAGAATACTTTTTGAAAATGAAGTAAATACACATTAGAGTTCATCAATTATTGTTTTAGTCAGTAAAAGATAGAACCATTATCAAAATCTAACGAATATCAATCGAGGAAGATCTTAATTATGTGAATGAAACTACTGAAACATTTGAAGTTATTTTAATAGTAGCTTTTCATTTTCTCCCAGTTTCGTTCAATACAAGTTTAGGGTTTTAGTTCATAACACGTTTTTTTCTCTTCCCATAAATACTGATTTGATACCTTTGTTGTGAACAAAAAAATTTAAATATATTAAAATCTATAGTGAGGGTCCGTATATAT